AGGAGTTGTCAGTCAGTAAATACTGGAAGTAGTTCCATGCGTATTAATTTGCAGTGACTCACAATAAGACGTCATAAGGTGTGTGAGTGAGTCTGACACAGATATACACAACTTGGCCTCCACTCTGCAGATATAATTGTTTGCCATACTCCTTATACTCAAATGAATATTGATACATTAATTGTGATAATGTCATCCCTGATTGCACTCATCTCTAAACATAACCGCAACGTACTTGTATCTGAAGCTAGATACATAATAAAACAATTAAACAGTGAACGTATGTAAAGAGACAAAGAAGATTCAAGGAGGAACAAAATAACAGCCTAATGATAACAGCCTAACTTGTCGGCGCTTTAGTACTATTGAAGGTAATCTGCCCTGGGTTGCCATTCCAATTATTGTATACGCTAAGCTGGAAAAATAAGTAAAGAAAAAAAGCCATATAAAGAAAAAACACTACAAACAAAGGGTGTTAGGTTTCTCGTTAACTGGCGAGAGACGAGCGAAGTGTGAAGAAATATGCGAGGATGGTTGGCCAGGTGGCGCGCAGCTCATCCTGTGGCTGACCTTGGCGACCGTGGCCTTCCCGCACCCTCCAGGGTCCCCAACCACTTGGGCTGGACGGTAGAGCGACGTGTCTCGCTTCATGCTGGTCGGCGTTCAATCCCCGACCGTCCAAGTGCTTGGGCACCATTCCTTTCCCCCCCTCGTCCCATCCCAAGTCCTTATCTTGATCCCTTCCAAGTGCTATATAGTCGTAATGGCTAGGCGTTTTTCTCTGATAGTTCCCTTCCCTAACCCTCCAACATAAACATACTAGAGGGAGCACCGTAGGGTTAACTCCTACTACCCTTGGGCGAAGATTAAATGCAATTAACATTTAACATAATGAGACATTGAACTAATTACTGTTTATTTATTAGTCTTCATACTTGCATTGCAAAAGTAAATGGTATTCAACGATGAATCAATTAGAAATAGCAATTAAACAAAATATTTGTTGAATATGATTTTAGCAATAGTAAGTAATAGTTATCGATCTGATGGTGTAAGTGGGGATATTATTTATGAAAATTATAGTCGACTTTTCATTACTTTCTTTTGGTAAGAAATAACCATTCAAGCATTTTCCCGCACAACGGAACAGCTGCAAATGAATTATGTCATTATCTACGATTTTGTATTTAAAATGCAACTAATAAGCAGTATAAAACATTCAAAGATATTCCGATGAGCAATTTCCAATTTAAAAACAACAATATTCAGTTTCCAAAGCCTGGCTGATGCTTGAGTAATGGAAAACTGGTTTTATCTCGGCGTGTATATACTACCAGATCTCACCTGTGAGAATTGACCTTTAATTGACCCTAAAAGACATCTATGGTTACATGGATAACGCTGACCACACTGCCAGTAGTCATGTTACACCCCCGTGTGTATGGAATGCTTCTTTTCTGGAAGCATGTACCCAGCTTCCCCGCTCTTAGGCTACCCGTCACGTCACTCTGCCTCGCCCACCAGTTCCTATTAGTGACCTCACCATGACCACACACTCTTACCAGCGACGTCATTACTAAGCCCGCACCAGCGACATCATCTCTACGCCCACGCCCACACCTGCGACGTCATCACTACGCCCGCACCAGCGACATCATCTCTACGCCCGCACCTGCGACGTCATCACTACGCCCGCACCTGCGACGTCACCACTACGCCCGCACCTGCGACATCATCACTAAGCCCGCACCTGCGACGTCATCACTACGCCCACACCAGCGACATCACCACCACGCCCACACCAGCGACATCACCACCACACCCACACCAGCGATGTCACCACCACACCCGCACGTGTGTCACTACCAGAAGGTAGTTACACCATACCGATCGAAGGCAACTACAGGAGTCAGAGAGAGAAAAGGAGTTGGGAGTGTATATAATTCCAACACTAGCACCAGAGGCACACATAAACAAGGTAACATCAGTAGCATATGAGACACTTGCAAACAATAAAATCCCCTTTAGAAACCTAAACCTGGTTTAGGTTTCCTTTAGGAACAAGAAAATCTGCACAGACTTTGTTAAAACCAAAGTTGGAATATGCAGCACCGGGCTGGAATCCGCATCTTGTGAAGCATAGAACTAAAATTGATAATGTACAAAGGTTAGCAACAAGATTAGTACCAGAGTTAAAAGGACTAAGCTATGAGGATAGGTTAAGGAAATTAGACCTCACAACCCTGGAGGAGAGAAGAAACAAGTTGGACATGATCGTAACATACAAGATATCGAGGGGAATTGACACGGTGGACAACGACAGACTATAAAGTGTGAGAAAGTAGAACGATAAGAAAGAGCTGGAAGCTGGTAATGCAAGTGGGTCGAAGAAATACAAGGAAATACTCTTACCCTGTACTGGTGGCCAACAAATAGGATGTACAGAAAGGAGAAGTTGAGGAGGCCACCTCCATCCACTCTAAGACCAAATTCGACAAAGAATTCGAACATAAAAATAATTAAATTATAACGCAACAGATACAACACGGCTAGTAGGCGGGGCGTAAAGTGCTAGATTAATCTATCTCACAGCCTCCGTTGTCACTGATAGGCAAATACCGGTAGGTAAGTCGCACACCCATACCAGTAACATTACCACTATGTTTGCACCAGTGACATCTCCATCACGCCCACGCCTGTGACATCACCGTCACACCCGCACCTGTAATGTCACCATCATATCGTCACTAGTGACATCGCAATTACACCCACACCTGCGTCATTACCATCACGCCCATGCCTGTGACATCACTCACACCCGCACCTGTGGCATCACCATCACATCCGCACCCACATCGCTGCCGCCACTGGTATATGTGGTGGTGACAGCAATTGTGTTATGTGGTGATCGGCTTGGTGTTGGACTAAAAGCCTATCAACCTCTGGAGAGTTATTACGATCACCACAGTAGCCTACTGACCACCTGAAAAGTATCGACCGATAGCCTAACCTCACATATCTGCAAGCTCACGGAGAAAATCCTATGAGCTGGGTTTTGTTAAAAATAAATCATGCCTTACCAACCTGCTCACATTTACGCAGTCGGTAACCAACTATTTAGACAAAGGACTTGTAGTAGACATAGTATACATTGACTTTTCTAAAGATTTTTGATAAGGAACCACATGAAAGTCTAGCAATGAAATTACGAGTACATGGAATAAATGGTAACATACTAAAATGGATTCAACACAGGTTAAAACAAAGAAAACAAAGGGTTGTCCTCAATGGAAACTATCTGACTGGAGAAATGTGGTGAGTGGGGTACAGCAAGGTTCCATCTTGGGATCAATCCTTTTTCTCATATACATCCATGGCATAGGTGAGAATATTACAATCTACATCATCAAATTTGCAGATAACACTCAAAATCTATGGTACAATAGGAAGCGAAAATGATATTGAGAACCTACAAAGCGATCTGTATGAACTTGTATACAAATGGTTGGAAGACTAGTAAATGCTCTTTAATGTTGAAAAATACAATGGCGATATGCTACTCACCTGCTCAGAAAAAGAACCTCAGTATAAAAAGCTCAGTGTTTTAAATTTTCACTTAAAATTGAGTTACAGGGTACAACGATATTATATGACCACCTTCACAGTTAATTGTTCATGTAAATAAATACTCATTTAAGAAAATAATAGCATAATTTGAATTAAAGAGCTAACAACACTACAAACCAGGCATGACAGGGCGGACCTCATTGAAACCTTTAAATTACTGAACAATTTACCTGAGTGCCACTCACTAACCCTAGTGGTCTCGACGAAGACAGGAAGCCGGCGGCTTGTCGAAGGTCCCCCCCATTTGCCTTGATGATCTTTTTCAGGTATATTTTGAAATTCAGCACAGGTTTTAGCAGTTACCTGCGGGTAGGCGGTTCCAAGGATTAATAAACCCTGTGGATGAAAAAACATTTATTCTCAGTCCTTCATTGTGGTCTGTTGAGCTTGAAACCGTTGCTCCTTGTTTGAGCCACTCAGATGTTGGAAGGTGTTGATCCGGACAATTTCTTCAAAAGGTCGGATGTAACACTAACTAGGAGCAACGGTTTCAAGCTCAATAAACCATAATGTAGGACTAAGAACAGGGGGATGTATTTTTCACATACGGGGTTATAAACCCATTGAACTGCCTACCCGCCGGAGCCATAAGTGCCAAAACTCTGTTAAATTTTAAAGTCCAACTGGAAGTCAACATATGGGGACCTCGACAAGCCGCCGGCTTCCTGTCCTCGTCGAGGTCACCAGTGTTAGTGGCCCCTCAGGTAAATCAGGTATAGGAAAGTCACCGGGCCAGACACCCCTCGAAATGTCCGTTTTCTAAAAGTTTCTCGCCTTCAATGCGAGGATGACCAACTCCTGTGTTATCCTTTTTGACACGCATTCAGCTCCACCAACAGGCACCGTACACGCCCACTTTAAATGTCGTAGCTCCATAAATTATTATCATTTAATTCACAATAATTAATTTTGGATATGACTGAAGACGGTCCTGGATACGGCTGAAGACGCCCTGAATACGGTTGATGAAGCAGCCCGTCCTCCTACGGTTTCCCATCATCAAGAAAACGGTAAATTTAAAGTATCATCTCCTAACCTACTAGAGGACCCAAAACAGAGAACGGGACGATACGTCACTTTCGCCAGTCGCTTCCATTTTCTAGTACAAATTTTTTTGGCCTTATGTAACGCATACGCTCGAAATGCGACGTTCTTTGTAGGAGGGCAGATTGGATGAAAGACTGGCTATGGCCGATGGCGCCCCTGGCTATGGCTGAAGACGGCTCTGGCTATGGCTGAAGACAGCCCTAGCTATGGCTGAAGAAAGCCATGGCTATGGCTAAAGACGTCTCTTATCAACACGGAGCGAAGCCGTAATCTTATCAATATCGGAGTCCCAGCAGACCAACTCTCCCAGATAGGCAAGATTACCATTCAGTTTGGAGGTGAGAGCGACGAAGTAGAGAGTCGTGTGGGCTCTAGGAGGTGTATTCGCGTTCACAAGTGTGTGTATGTATATAGTCAGTGTTGCTGCGTTAGTCAGGACACTTTTATACTGCGACTGACCCCGTGCATCTCTTCCTAAGGTGGAGTGGAACACTGCTGTAGGCGGGAGCGGAACATGAAACCCCCGCCCCAGCCACACTGAACGCCACAGCCCAGAGCATGCGAACACGGCGCACCAGGAAGGGTGACCTTAACTTGACATAAACGACGATGGCGAGCAAGGTGAGATGAAGTGTTGGTATGTGCTGGAGTTGCTGTGGGGAGCTGTGTTGCTTTGATAGACTTGTGCTTCGGTGGGTGATATGCTGGTCTGTGACGCTGTGTGACGCTGGTGTAAGTACGAAACGTTAGTGTTATGATATATCCGTTCCCACCACTACCCATGAGGCAGTATTGTGGCGACATTGTCTCTCTCTCTCTCTCTCTCTCTCGGAGACACATCTACGTTTCTTAAAAGTTACAGCAGCGTATTTGATGTAACCCCTTGACCTTAACCACCACCATTAACTATAGTCACAACAACTACATCAACAGAGGTCCTCCAGGCCGCGCCACCTTGAGAGCGTGTAAACTTGAAGATGATGTGATGTGGCGTAGACACAATATGATCTACACTGTATAGTCTCAGTGTACGTAACCTAACTGCAGTGTACCTCGCGGCACCTTGCTCAGCACCACACTACGAGGGGTCTTAGGGAGGGGTGCCATCTCTCCACAGTGGCTGGTGAATGATTCTTGCTAGGACAGACATGATGCTAGGCGCCTGCTAGGACAGACATTATGTTGGGCACCTGCTAGGACAGACAATGTTGGGCACCTGCTAGGATAGACATAATGTTGGGCACCTGCTAGGATAGACATAATGTTGGGCACCTGCTAGGATAGACATAATGTTGGGCACCTGCTAGGACAGACATAGTGTTGGGCACCTGCTAGGACAGACAATGTTGGGCATCTGCTAGGACAGACATAATGTTGGGCACCTGCTAGGACAGACATAGTGTTGGGCACCTGCTAGGACAGACAATGTTGGGCATCTGCTAGGACAGACATAATGTTGGGCACCTGCTAGGACAGACATAATGTTAGGCACCTGCTAGGACAAACATAATGTTATGAAAGATGGACAGACCATAATTAGTCCTCACTATCTTAGTGTTGTGTCCCCACCACTACATTATTGTCTCCCAGCCACAACAGTTTTGTCTCTCCCAGCTGGGCATATAGTGGTAATGGCTAGGTGCTTTCCCCTTCCCTTCCCAGCTGGGCGCCCCCGCGGGAGAGGCCCCGCCAACACACTGCCCCATCTGCCTGGACACGTGGGACGCCGAGGACCACCTCCCCAAGTTCCTGTCGTGTCATCACAGCGTCTGCGTCTCCTGCGTGGGCCTCCTCCACCAAGCTGCTCTCAAACACGCCCCCGTGTCCGGCACGCCCACCACGCCCACCTCGACACTGGCACGCCTGACGGGCTCCAGGTCTTCCCTCAATGATCCTGAGGAGTCCGGGCTCTCCTGCTGGGTGAAGTGTCCTCTCTGCCGCTCAGACACACTCGTCCTCGACCCTCTCGCTCTCCAGACCAACTTCTACCTCAGGGGGCTACTGCGCACCCACTCCCTCCCCAGGTGAGTCTTGGGGTATGCTCGCCCTCCCCAGGTGAGTCTTGGTGTATGCTCACCCCTCCCCAGGTGAGTCTTGGTGTATGCTCGCCCTCCCCAGGTGAGTCTTGGTGTATGCTCGCCCTCCCCAGGTGAGTCTTTGTGTATGCTCGCCCTCCCCAGGTGAGTCTTTTGTGTATGCTCGCCCTCCCCAGGTGAGTCTTTGTGTATGCTCGCCCTCCCCAGGTGAGTCTTGTGTATGCTCGCCCTCCCCAGGTGAGTCTTGGTGTATGCTCGCCCTCCCCAGGTGAGTCTTGGGGTATGCTCGCCCTCCCCAGGTGAGTCTTGTGTATGCTCGCCCTCCCCAGGTGAGTCTTGGTGTATGCTCGCCCTTCCCAGGTGAGTCTTGGTGTATGCTCGCCCTCCCCAGGTGAGTCTTGTGTATGTTCGCCCTCCACAGGTGAGTCTTGTGTATGTTGTGTATGTTCGCCCTCCCCAGGTGAGTCTTGTGTATGCTCGCCCTCCCCAGGTGAGTCTTGGTGTATGCTCGCCCTCCCCAGGTGAGTCTTGGTGTATGCTCGCCCTCCCCAGGTGAGTCTTGTGTATGTTCGCCCTCCCCAGGTGAGTCTTGTGTATGTTCGCCCTCCCCAGGTGAGTCTTGTGTATGCTCGCCCTCCCCAGGTGAGTCTTGGTGTATGCTCGCCCTCCCCAGGTGAGTCTTGGTGTATGCTCGCCCTCCCCAGGTGAGTCTTGTGTATGTTCGCCCTCCCCAGGTGAGTCTTGTGTATGTTCGCCCTCCCCAGGTGAGTCTTGTGTATGCTCGCCCTCCCCAGGTGAGTCTTGGTGTATGCTCGCCCTCCCCAGGTGAGTCTATATATATATATATATATATATATATATATATATATATATATATATATATATATATATATATATAATTGTTTTGCTATATTACCAACCGAGTGTCCTTCCATGTTTTAGGAAAGTTGTGTTATAGGAGAGGCGGGTTGTAAAGTGTTTCAGAGTTCCAGTCTACTCAGGCCTGGCCACTACAAGACAAAGAGACGCCCACTCAATGTCGTTTGGATCACTCACGATGTTTTATGAACTAAAATCAATTTCCTGTCGAAGGTACTTCAGCCATGAAGCATAGATGCCGTTAGGAGCTGGCCGAACGGCTGGGACAATATCCATTTTTAAAGACTGATAGGCTATCCCGAGTCTTTGGACCAAACTAAGTAAAGATCGGTGCCAGGAGTGCAAACTTCTTGCCTTTTCTGCTTGTTCACTTAAGTGCACCAACTTGTGGGTCTCGTTAACCATTTCTGACGTAATATGTCTTTTATTTGGAACATTGTTGTTCCTGTGAACATTTTGTTCTTCATTCCATTTTGTACTCTCCCTGCACATTTGTATTCAATATATTTACATCACACAAACGTCTGATTTGTTTTGCCCTGGTGTTTTAATGCACAATTTAAATCACAAACTTTTTATAAAGAAACAATGCAAAGAGTGTTCGTGTATTAGCAACTTTTAGCATAGAATTATTACACAATCACACTAACAGATCGAAGTTTTCTCACTGATATGCCAGAAGTAATAATAATTGAAATGTCGTTAAAATACAACTTGATTAAGTAAGCATCCCTGCTCTGCTCCTTCATAAACTTTTAATTGAGTTACAACAATTTACAAAGGTTTAAAAACAAACGTTTTCACTGCTTGCAGGATTCAGAGTTATTGTTATTGAGCATTACCAATACTGTTAATTAAATAATTATTTCAATCTAAAATTGTCATCAGAATAATTATTCGCGACCTCTATATTTAAGCATAGTCTGTCTGAGGCCAGACAAGTGCTCAGGCTACGACGAGAAGTGCGCACTGGGTACAAAACTTGGAATTTGCAGTTGCGTCGTATTGGTTTTCAAAGTAAATCTGACAGTAACTATGGGGTACTGGTCTCTACCACAAGGTCAGCAGTAACACTAGGATACTGGTCTCCACAACAAGGTTAGCATACTTCAACTGACAATTAATTCTTGAGTTGGTGTCACATGTCCTGTTGCTTGGCTGGGAGGGAACAAAGATGGCATCTAGCGACGCAGCCATCAGATATAAATGGCACAAAGGCCTCGCTGGCTATCTTATCAGAGCAGGTTACATGTCTGTGTAACTCACCACACAAATAAGATGACTTGAAGCTCTCTCTCAACTGCCAGTACTCTCACATTACTTAAGTAATTTAATAGCTAACTTCGTACAGTAACTTAAGTGCAACTTAAAATGTTAGTTTTACATTGTTTATATTTACAAATGAGCCACGTACACATTTTCCGACCCTTAATAACCTTTGGAGTGTGTGTCAACACATCTAGCATCGTATAGTTCAAGTTCAAGTAAGATTATTGAGATGATAACATACATTCCCAAAAGATACAGTAGCTTAGGCTATTTCTACCCGACTTCTGTTATGTTACTACACACCCGTATGGTGTTTGGGAGACTTTCCAATAGTCGCTACTCGGTCAATGTCATGTGAGCAGTGGAATGTTCAGTGTGAAGGTTGTGAGCAGTGGAATGTTCAGTGTGAGTGGTTGTGAGCAGTGGAATGTTCAGTGTGAGTGGTTGTGAGCAGTGGAATGTTCAGTGTGAAGGTTGTGAGCAGTGGAATGTTCAGTGTGAGGGGTTGTGAGCAGTGGAATGTTCAGTGTGAGGGGTTGTGAGCAGTGGAATGTTCAGTGTGAGGGGTTGTGAGCAGTGGAATGTTCAGTGTGAGGGGTTGTGAGCAGTGGAATGTTCAGTGTGAGGGGTTGTGAGCAGTGGAATGTTCAGTGTGAGTGGTTGTGAGCAGTGGAATGTTCAGTGTGAGTGGTTGTGAGCAGTGGAATGTTCAGTGTGAGGATTGTGAGCAGTGGAATGTTCATTGTGAGGGGGTTGTGAGCAGTGGAATGTTCAGTGTGAGAGTTGTGAGCAGTGGAATGCGTTAGAGGAGTATACAGCATTAATATGTTAGAGTGCAACAGCTGGAACTTAAGTAGAATCCTCGCCCACACACTAGCACACACACACACACACACACACCTCCAACATACATATACCTCCGTTTCTCCCCTCTATACACAGTTCACCCCTCCACACACACACACCTCCCGTCTCTCAAACGTCCCCTTCTCCAAAACATATCCTCTCCCCCTCCAAACATACGTATTTTCCACCTATACACGCACACTATTACCACCCCTTTTTTCATTCACCTCTCTGCTTCCCCCATACACACCTCCGCACTCACATACACCCCCCTACTCCTTCCTCTCCAAACCTGGTAAACACACACACACATGACAAACGAACCCAGTTTCCCCTACTTTACATACAATGCTTCATGCTGAGGCCAGCTTAGTATACACTGTATACTAAGTGTATACTAAGTACACTTAGTATACATCACTGACCGGTAGCTGCAACTCTTCTGTTTATCGATTAAAAACACTTTACACATATCTCACAACTGATTACGGCAAATCTTTTCTCGAACAGTGCTTCACTCACTTTCAGTGTTCGAAACGCACCGCTCTCCATCATCAGTGTAAGTATAGTGGTGTGTTAATGTTTGTGTACATGTATGGGTGTAACAGTGTACTAGTGTTTGTGTATATGTATAGTATTGTATTAATGTCGTTGTACATGTATAAGTATAACAGTGTGTTAATTTTAAATTGTTCGTGTTTATGTACGTGTGTGTAATTGTGCGTGGCGTCCTCATGATTGCTGTCTGTCCTCATGAACGCTGTCTGTCCTCATGAACGCTGCCCGGTGTATTTGTATTTGGGTGTATTTTACCTGAATTTACCTGAGGGGACCACTAATACTAGCATCATCAGGGCTACTAATACTAATGGCTTCGACGAGGACAGGAAGCTGGTGGCTTGTCAGAGGTCCCCCATTTGCCCTAATCTTTTCAATCTGTATTTTAAAACCCAGAAGAGTTTTGGTGTTTACGGCTTTGGCGGGTAGGCGGTTCCACGGGTTTACAACCCTGTGGGTGAAAAAACATCTCCTGTTTTCTGTCCTACATTGTGGCTTGTTGAGCTTGAACCCGTTGCTCCTTGTTCGTGTTACATCTGATTTTTTTAAGAAACTGTCCGGATTGACATCGTCCAAATTGTTCAGTATTTTGAATGTTTCAATGAGATCCGCCCTGTCATGCCTGGTCTGCAATGTTGTTAGTCCTGTGGCCCTCAACCGTTCCTGATACGAGAGATGATTTGGCTCTGGTATGATTTTTGTTGACCGGTGTTGCACCTTCTCCAGAGCAGCTGTGTCTTTCTGAAGACGAGGTCTCCATGCCTGGATGCAATACTCCAGGTGGGGGCGCACCAGAGACTTAAACAGTTGAACGACTACTTTGTTTTCCTTGAAGGTTGAAGTTCCTTGAACTATGCTTGATTATTCCCAGGGTTTCGTTCATTTTTTTTTTACTGTGTGTATTTACTATTTGTGCCTGCAGAATCGAACTATTAGCTCTTAGATTCCACCTTTATAGCCAATTCATTTTTTCCTCTATTAAGTCTACTACATATATTTCTCTCTAACACACAGTGTGTGTGTGTGTGTGTGTGTGTGTGTGTGTGTGTGTGTGTGTGTGTGTGTGTGTGTGTGTGTGTGTGTGTGTGTGTGTGTGTGTGTGAGTGAGTGTGCGTGTGTGTGCAGGTAAGTTTACCCAAGACAGAGGTTGCGTGTTGAGTGACGTGTGCTGTGCTCCCCTCCCCGCAGGCTGGTGCTGTGGTGCGACACGTGCTGCTGCGTGGCGGCGCCCTCCTGCGTCCGGCACGACCTCCGCCCTCTCCAGGACAAGATGCGCCGCCTCCAGGTATCCCCCACACCTGTGTAACACTCCACACATTTACTACAAATGTGTGCATTCCACACCATATGTGTTACATGTACAGGAAACATAAGAACATTTGATCTCATGTGTATTTATTTAACTTGGATCATCGGGGGAATGAACTCAGGCCTGGAAATATGAGGTGTATGAGAGGGAGAACATCGCCTGATACTGGTGTAGTGGTCGCGGTAAGTTAACTTAATCTAACTGCACCTGAGGATAGAAAGACAAGATATTGAGTTGAATAGAATAAGATAGACAGGGAGTTTGTAACACGCCAACAAGACGGGTTCAGGGATGGTTCAAGTTCAAGTATGTTTATTGAGACAAGAAAAACAATACATCTCAAAGGGATAGAATAGCTTAGGCTATTTCTACTCCCCATTTCAGAGATGGTAAATAATGCCGCACAGGTTTAATTGAATTTTATGAAAAGGCGACACAAATTAGGCAAGAAAGAGAAGGGTGGGCGGATTGCATTTTCTCGGACTGTCAAAAAGCCTTTGACACAGTACCCCATAAGACACAGTACCCATAAGAGGCTGGTGTATAAGTTGGGGAACAAGCAGGAATGACAGGTAAGGTGCTACAGTGGATAAGCAACAGAAAACAGAGTTACTATGGGACGAGGGGAGACCTCAGAATGGCGTGGAGCCACCATCGGAGTCCTAAAGGGTTCTGTACCAGGACCTATCCTGTTTCTGATATACATAATCGATCTCCCTAAAGGTATAGACTCCTTCTTCTCAATGTTTGCTGATGATGCAAAAGTTATGAGAAGGATTAAGACTGGAAGATAGCAAGAGATTGCAAGACGACCTGAAGAAATGGTCCAACAAATGGCTACTAGAGTTTAACTCAAGTAAGTGTAAAGTAATGAAAATATGTGTAAAGAACAGGAGGCTGGGCACAAAGTACCAATTGGGAGATGAACTAATATAAGAATCAAGTACAGAAAAAGATCTTGAAATTGCTATCACACCGAACCTGTTTCTGAAGCCCACATCAAAATATTTCATCAGCGGCGTATGCTAGATTGGCCAACATAGTAACTGACTTTAGAAACTTGTTCAACAAGTCATTCAGAACCTTGTATACTACATATGTCAGATCAATCCTGGATTATGCAACTCCATCGTGGAGTCTATATCTAGTCAAACACAAGAAATTAGAGAAAACTTAGATACGGCACAAGACTAGCCCAGAAGTTGAGAGGTATGAGTTATGAGGAAAGGCTACTGGAATTAAACCTCTCGTCACTAGAAGACAGAAGAGTTTGGGGAGACATGATTACCACCTACAAAATTCTCGGAGTCGGAATTCCAGGCTGGCCAGAAATAGTTGGGCACTATTTCTATCATCTAATGCGCCTGTTCACCTAGCGATAAATAGGTACCCGGTAGTTAGGCAACTGTCGCGGTGGTTGCATCCTGGGGAGGGTCAATAGTTCCACCTTGCGGGACCTCAATATTTAATTATTTATTTATTTATATACAAGAAGGTACATTGGGTTTGTGAGAATACATAGCATAGTATTTACAATCTTGTAAAGCCAATAGTACGCGCAGCGTTTCGGGCAGGTCCTTAATCTAACAGATAGACTACACCATGCAGTCTCCGTGGTGTAGTGGTAAGACACTCGCCTGGCGTTCCGCGAGCGCTGTGTCATGGGTTCGTATCCTGGCCGGGGAGGATTTACTGGGCGCAATTCCTTAACTGTAGCCTCTGTTTAACGCAACAGTAAAATGTGTACTTGGTTGTAACAACGATTCTTCGCGGCAGGGGATCGTATTCCAGGGACCATAGGATTAAGGTCTTGCCCGAAACGCTACGCGTACTAGTGGCTGTACAAGAACGTAACAACTCTTGTATATATCTCAAAAAAAAAAAGATAATTTTAAGTAGGTAAATTCTAGCAGAATTAGTATCTAACGAGGCCTAACGTATATCTATTTAAAGGATCCCGGTAAGACAGTTGGGATCGTTCTCGACTCATTCCAGAATTCTTGGTTCGAATCCGGGCGGGACAGAAATGGTTGCGTGCGTTTCCAATCACCTAATGCCCCTGTCCACCTTGCAGTGAATAGGTACCCAGGAGTCAGCTTGTTGTGGGGTTGCATCCTGGTCAGTAATTCGACCCTTGTGGAAGACCTCGATATAAGCCTAACATGTACCGTATGTTTATACTGGCTGCCTGTCCCCGAAAAATGAATTAAAAATGAATTATTAAAGACAAACTATTTATCAAGGGTGATACACGAACAAGGGGACACAGGTGGACACTCAGTACCGAAACGAGCCGCAGAGTCATTAACAAATGTTCAGTGTTGGAGTAACTAACAAATGGAATGCATTAGGAAGTGATGTGGTGGAGGCTGACTCCATACACAGTTTCAAACGTAGATATGATAGAGCCCAGTAGGCTCAGGAACCTGTAAACCCGTTGATTACGGTTGAGAGGCAGAACCAGAGAGCCAAAGTTCAACCGCAGCAAGTGAGTACAACTAGATAAATATAATTGTACTCAATAAGGTGAGTACATCTCGTGCCCTGGTGAAACAACTATGCGAGCACAACTAGGTAAGCACTCGCTCTCTCAACAACTCCATCTGTCAATAGGTGGCAGCACCATCACCACGTTTTCTAAATTACCCATTTTCTATGGTCGCGTTTGTTTTCAACATCAGTATCTTGACCTACCATAAAGAACACCCCATAAATGTCAATGGCAGTGCATAAATATAAGATGCAAAGTGGAATACGACGGATCTCTGACAGATTATGCCAAGGGATTGTCAAACACATGTTGTAGACAGTAGATTTCCTCATAGATGAGGAAATCAAAACAGCTACTGATAATATATTTCATTATTCACAAGGTAAATTGCCATTACACAGGAGAAACTGATACAAATACCGCAATAATTAATTTCCTAAATAATCCACCACCTGACTTGGCTTGAAACACGGGTTGGTAGTGCCATGTAGTCGAATACATGCCACGCCCAACTCTGTGCACCAAGTGTAAATTATTCAACTATACTTATCATTATCACGGTCAAAAGATATCAGATATGGCAAACACGTAAAATCCCACTACACAATTCGAGTGCACTTCAGGCACCCTTAGATATCCAAACTACCACAGCTACCATGACGTTAAATAAATATGACATACCTACCACTCGACAGCAGCAAAAATGGCCAGCATATGACACCACACTTATTTTGAATTAAACTTTGGTACGTAGAGCAATGTGCTGGTATCCTGTTCTGTATACAGGATACCAGCACATGTATGTATGTGGGATTAGTGTATAGAGCAGGAGCTAGCTATGAGTTCATCTAAGATCCCATTCATAGCATGGTTAGTCATACGTGGAATCAGGAGAAAACATGAAATGCAAGTCTAGCCTACTAGCCTGCAGAGGGGTAGAAATAGCCTAAGCTACTCTATCCCTTTGAGATGTATTTTATTGTCTCAAGAAAAAGTACTTGAACTTGAACTAGCTTGTACTAGCAAACTCTGGGTAGAGAACAAGAATGTTTTCCGATATTCGTGAGAGTATGAAGTACTTACCTGAACTCAAAGTATCTCAAACCATTTGCCCTTACACAACATGCTTTGCAGTAAAGCATTCAGGCAGCACATTTTCATCTTTCAATCAACCCACAGCAAGCTGCTCATGTAGGGTAGCGACCATCCCCCTCCATCGACCAACTCACACAACCCCACGCAATAATCTAACCCTACATAACCTCCCCCACTAACCTATCCCATAACAGACCTCAGACGGCGTACAAAACGCAATGGGGTGAGTTATCCGAACCATTGTTTGACAATTCGATGTACGCACGTCACCCACTACAAAGATAATAACGAACCAGTTACCTGAGTACAAACTCATGGGCTGGGTTGTGAGGTGCCACGTCACTAAACGGACCGAACCTAACCTAACCGAGGACTCACGAATAAAAAACGGGACATGACGTCAATTTTGCGAGCCGCTATATTTTTCACCAACCATGGCGACTTTGTTTACATTTAAAAAAACAGTTTGCAAGCTTTGAAACGTCACAACCCAAGTTATTACTATTGTAAACAGCCTCGTAGTGACTCATAGCTCATGAACTGTTTAATATATGTAAACAAAGCCGCCATTATTGAGGAAAGATGTACAGGTTTCGCCAGTCACGGAGATTACGATCGAGTGTAGTTCAAGGAGAAACCTCCAGACTCGATAGTAATGACACTCAAGAAGAAAATGATTTACGTCAATAGTGTCGTACGAAGGTCAACAAATAGTCGTACCGGGAACTAGTTTTTATCACGAGTTGAATATATCACCTCCACCAAATTTATTATTATATTATTGGTACCGTTTTTTGGAATCTGAAGCTGAACTGATTGGGACAGTATATTATGTTCTGTTTAGCTATACTGTTATGGTGACTCGTGTAATTAAGGTACTGTAATTTTTATATAATCTTTCCCAGTTAAAATGGCACTACTACCATTTATTAATAAATTTCATTCAATTGATTGGAATAAAGCTGCTTACATATAAGTAAAGCTGCTTCTATATAAGAAAAGCTGCTTATATATAATATAAAGCTGTTTATATATATAAGTAGCTTATATATAAGTAAAACTACTTATATATATGTAAGTAACTTATATATAAGTAAAGCTGTTTATATATAAAAGCAGCTTTACATTATATAATATATCAATTATTGTATATAATGTGATTATTTTAAATATTGAACCATATAATTAGTGTTGGAGTGATCACCACCATTGTGGACTGTGGTTGCTCTAGTTCTCTCATTATCATGGAAGGCTGGAGTTCTAATGGTTTATTGTTTACTATGGCTGATTCTACCAGATCTGAACCTGCTGTTTTTTACACATTAGGGATGATATTTCAGATTCGTCCCCTGCTTTGGTTTGGTTTGACTTAAAGCCTATCAACCGCTGAGGGGAGGGGGGAAGGAATTTAGGCCACCACAAGTTAGGCCTAAAGTAAACTCACTATGTTTATCGATTAACTGAGGGGGGGGGGTATACCTACCGGTGTATATATCCCCCTGTCCCTGATTTGGGGTTAATTAAGCGTATTATAGAGGTAACACCTGACGAATTAGTTGTGAAAAGACATTAAATTGGGATAGTTGCCAGTAAGATAGTTATTTATATTGGTTTGTATTGCTGAAATCTTATATACTTGGTTTGTTCCTGTTGAGCTCAGGCTATCAGTGGCAGTCAGCAGATAGCACCGGTATATCATCTTCAATGAGTTTTATCTGTTTATTATTTATGATTATTATTTTTCCCAAGATATGTGAGATCGTTTTAAAAATTCTTTTCTTGTTATCATTCATCTGTTATAAAATATTTTCAGAATAGCTTAATCAGTCTATGGCATTAACTAAGACACACACTAATTTTGAAGACATTTTGTAGGACCATATTGGGGTTGCATTATAGAGATACTAAGGAAAACCTTCATAAAATTATTAAATATAATAAGGTCTTATTAATTCTGCTATAAAGAAAACAAAACATAGAACCTGCATTGGTGTCCACCAAAAAATTATCTTTAATGCTTTGTATGTTTGTTTTTCGGTACAAGGCTTTAAATTCAGTCAATTCGGTTTAAATTCAGTCAATATCATTAATTTAAGGAGTTTTAAAAATGCACGGACAAATTTTGAAACAATTTCACAGGAAGGTTTTTGTGTACATGAAAAACTGTAACATAAGGATAGTGAGAAATTAGAATAGACAAGACTCGATAGATAATAGAAGCGATTATCATAAATAATTTTAAAATAAGACAAGTGACAGGAAGGTTGGGAGTGACTGCATTAGACAACTGAGAGAAAGGCGCAGCTCAGGAACTTTTGCTCCACACTCCATGCACATTAAGGCTAGTATACTGAAATAATTAATAAAATCACACCATTGTAACTCGTGTCTTATGACAGGAGGAACTGATAGCAACCGCTGGGGAGGCGTGCGGGTTGGCGTGCGGCCGTGTGGCAGAGTACGAGCGCCAGGTGGAGGTATACAGGTGGACGTGCAGGGTGCTGCGGCACGCCCACGCCCGGGTGCTGGCCGCCCTCACCCACGCCCAGCAGCAGCACCGAGCCTTCAACCACCACAACAAGGACATTCTCCACCTGGTCAGTACACCACCAACAGTGTCCCGTCTTGGTAGATATCTCACCTAGGAGAGCGTACAATAATTCAACGGCAAGTGAATACGTTTTGTATGTGAGGTGTATTTATTATTTGCATTTAGTATTTGTGTCTGCAGGATTGAGTTTACAGCTCTTGGACCTCATTTTTATAACGGTAATCCGGTAATCTGATCCAATGACTCCTGACCTATTTCCCCTATCATACCTACTTTTAAAGTCATGAATGGAATTTGCCTCTACACTCTGCTCCATTAGTTCACTCCATTTTGCCTCTACTTTTAAACCCTTTCTAACATTTCTATGACTCATCCAATTCTCAAGCTTCCATCATGTTTTACTGACATTCATTGTGAACATTTCCTCTTTTTCCACTGTCACTCCCACTAAGTATTTTATACGTCTCTAATGTATCTCCCCCCCCCCTCTCTCCTTCTTTCTAGCGTCGTCAGGTTTAGGTCCTTCTGTCTCCTCACACCCCATCCCTTGCAATTCTGGGACGAGTTTCGTTGCAAACTTCTTCACCTTTTGGAGCTTCTTGCCGGTTTTTTTTAAGGTGGGGCTCGACGACGGGGCTCGGCATACTCTAAAACTTGTCTCACACAGTGTTGCTCTAAGACTCCTTATTTACCTTCGTGAAGGATGTTCTGACTGTCGCTAGTCTAGAGTATGCAGCTGACGTTACCCTATTTATATGTGCATCCGGAGATAGATTTGGTGTTATGTCCGTCCCCAGGTCTTTTTCCCTATTCGTAATAGGGAGGTACTTTCCCTTCATCGTGTACTTGGCTTTTCGATGTCTCCTGTCGTGGTGTGCCGTTTTCGTTATAATCTTCGTCATTTGACGTTTTGAAACGTACGATGGTTTTCGTTTAAAATCCTAATTTAAATTATTCCATCTGACTACCATTGTTTAAAAAAAAGAGTATTTAAGCATCACTTTTTTTGTACCTTTATTTTTTTAGGTTGAATTTATGCCCTCTTGTTTTCGATATTACAGATTTTAAAAATTCATGCTTTTAAATTTTGTACATTTGTGATCATTGTACATTTTAATCATGTCACTTCTTATTTTTCATGCACACGTTTATGTATCTCTGTCTACCCAGCAGATATGTACATTTTATTGACTAGAATCAATTACTTTTTTAAATTATGACAGCATCTTGGATAACTAGCTAACAACATGGGAAACATTCACGAAACTGCATTGAATGAAATATTTACTATTTATTTGTATAGGTAAACCGCGGGGAGGCGCTGCAGGGGACACGCGATGCAGAAGAGGAAGCCATCAGCGGCCTGGAGAATGTGGTGAAGGAGGTGAAAGAAAAGCAGGATAAAATGTGTGCAGAGAAGGAGCCGCCGACGCTGAAGGAGAGCTTCCACGTGCCAGGTAGCCATAAGGGCCCACATGGGTTCCACAGGGCTGTGCTGGTCCTGGAGGCCGACGACTCCCTCACACTCTCACTCCACGGAGGGGACGAGCTAGAGTCTCAGGATACCGATAGCACCAAGGAAGACACAAAAGATATAACGCAGTTCAAACCCTTCCTGTCTTTGCAGAACCGACAGAAGAAGACTGCAACACAAGCAAAAATGCAGGTCACCCAATCCGCTTCACTGCGCGAGGTTAAAGGGGGGTTATCGGTGAAGGAAGAACCGCGTTCCGCCGCCGGAGTTGAGAAGGAGACCCGATGCCCCAGTCAATCCTCAACCAATCCAAGCTCTGATTCTTGTGTGCAGAATTCTCACGGCCTTCCATTTCGTCAGCCCAAAACAAGTGTTAGTGATCCTACAAACGTGTATGAACCAGAGCACCCGATCAACGACACGTTGACACAAGTCGCATCCAGCAACAGCCTCTCTCTACCGAAAAAGCTTACCACAGCAGCACCAAGTAGAGATATCACATACAGTGACACTCCGGCACCAATAAACCCAGATCATCACTTCATCATTGCTGACACTAGACACAGGAGCATCCAGGATGAACACATCCGGCACCAGCGGGCGAGAGGGCACGCTGCTGCCCCGCGGTATGGCCGCCAGAAGTCGAGACGCTCACGACGAAGAGCAGGAAAACCTCGATGTAGCATCATGTAACTTACTGAATTGTGTCTATGTAAAGTATACTTTAACATATTTACAATATGTAGCATATGGCAATGAACTAAAATTATATATTTATTGTATTTTGTCCAGAATGTACAATAGATGTGATGTGTCGCTTGGTCTCTATGTTAGACAAAATTGGATTTGGCCAATAACTGGATGAGTGACCACATGGCCAATGCCTTGCCCTTGACTATGAAGTCCTGGACAAGCTCATTGAGGATTCGTTCCCCCCCCCCCTCCCAACAGTTGTACTAATATCTAAATAAAGTGAAAGTTGTGTCAAGTAAAATTGGTAAGAGTGCGCAGCTTCACCCGTACACAACACAATATAACCGAAATACTTTATTATGAGCCGCTTAACGTATGAGGAAATAAATCTTGAGTACCAGAAAGCTATGACGTTCCAAACACTTTATTGACTGGAATCAATCCATAAATTACACGGAACGTGATGCAGTGTTGTAGTGAGAAATGGCATGATAACCCACTAGGCTGCCGGACACAGCTCCTGAGTGTCAGAAATATAAAAAGATTCGAGCGTGTAGCTTGTGCTCTGAGAATGGACGAGGATATAACCATAACATTTATCAGACGACAACATTAATTATTTTGTACCCTTTATATTATTTACTTTTACATATTTCTTGAACTAAAAAAAACAAGGTGTAAACGTTATTGATGCATTTCATATCATGATTACCTTAGTGTTATATTAGATTTACGATTTATATAATGAATAGTGTTAATATTAATCATTAACCAATATACTGAAGAATGTATCGTATGAATTATTTTCCATTTATGAAATAAGATATCACTAAGAACTCTACGATCTGACCCGACCGATGTAAACAGTACCCATACAGCTCAGTGTTACGAATGGAGCTCTTAAATGAAAAGTGTAATGAATGCTAACTGAGAATACCTCTTTGCGAAAGTTAGGCAAGGCCCGACTCCCTGGGAATTTTGTCCCCACAATTGAAAATAAGAAGTCTATTCTCTAGGGAATGATGGCCTAACTGAGCGAAAGGAGGTAAACTCCAGTTCAAGTTTACACTATTTATTAATTCCTAAAGTAACATCAAAATATTCTACCACCTACGTTACACTATATCTCTGACTCCATAGAGGCATGAGACGAGATGTACCAGAGCAAGCTAATGCTATGCCTCAGACCCTGAAGGTGGTGGAAACTAACACTAACTTGATCTAAAACATTAACATACATGCTCCATTTGCTGAAGTTTCTGGATTTCAGCTTTTCCAGCAAATGTAACACATACATAGAATTATAACCAGAATAGAATACTGGCTCAACTACTTAAACATTATGGATACTTAACTAGAGAAAAAAAGGCCACACCAGCCAATCCCGACCATCACGTCCCGTAGCAGAGCCCGCCAAAACCCCCATGTCCTCAGTGCCGGCTTATTAAACTGATCGTACTGTAAGCATTGTTACCCAAAATCTTAGATACAATCCTTAATTTCCACCATTCAGTCCTTAGCATTAATGGAATATCCTAGATTTATAATGCACAAAAAAAAACATACCAACAGTGCATCAAAACCAACTAGAACTAAATACTCTTACGTCTGGCAGAGACTAAAATACTCCCCCCCCCCAAATTCTGATTCGAAGTTCGTAAACTGTCTACATTTAACTTAAAGATTCAAACACTTCTTCCTTACCTTCCATTCACCTGGGCTGTAGGAGACTCGAATTGTGGACTCCTCGTGTGAAACCGAAGCTCTATCGACTGTCACATTTTTCAAAAAATTAAAAAAATTCAAATGTTTATTCAGGTAAATTACATACATACAGGAGGTTATACAAAAATTGATAGATTTACAGATAGAGCTAGTACATACAATGCCTAAAGCCACTATTACGCAAAGCGTTTCGGGCAGGAAAAATATTAAAGACTAAAACTTAATACTAATTGAGATTAAAAGTATAAATGTATATACTTTTTCCTTACCAAAACGTACATAATCTAACTCTAATTCTCCTAATTATAATCTAATACCTATCAGATACTACAAATACAAATATTTCCCAGCTTTTCTTTTTTTATGAAAAGCCCTATTTCAAATACTCAAAACCAACAAAGGGGATCGTGACCCAGGGGGGTAGAAATAGCCTAAGCTGCTCTATCCCTTTGAGATGTATTTATTGCTTATCTCAATAAACATACTTGAACTTGAATCGTGACCCACCAACTGGGAACAACACGGGTGATAGACCTTATTAATATTCGTAAAATTTTGAATTATTTATCTTCGGCTATGATAATAATTTTCCACAATATTGCCGCTTCATCACACTTCGAGGTTCAAACTTAAAAAAACTATTATAAAATATTACCTTACATATATCAGCAACTCAATATTAAGTTTGAGTAATATGCCACATGTACAAATCTATTTCTTGGTAGCATAGCCAAATATTTTGATTTGTAGAGACATGTTAAAGGCAATATTTTTATGTTCTAAAAGCCTCTCCATTACTCCTTATTGACACGATATCTAAAAGATGAAATATTTCAGCGTTTACATTGTATCCTTGTTTTTCAATGACAAATTTAGCGTTTAAAATTTCCATGTGTGTAAACGCAACGGGAAAGCGTACAAGGAAATATTGGTCATTAATATATGTGTATACGTGGGTGCTTGGTAGGTAGGTTGAGCCCCGGCGAATCCGCACATTCTACCGCCGTACCAGAGACCGGCTCCTCCTTCCCACCCACCACCGCCCACAGAACCTTCGAGGCCGCCCACAGAACCTCCGAGACCGCCCACAGAACCTCCGAGGCCGCCCACAGAACCTCCGAGACCGCCCACAGAACCTCCGAGGCCGCTCTCAAAACCTCCGAGACCGCCCTCAAAACCTCCGATACCGCCCACAGAACCTCCAAGACCGCCCACAGAACCTCCGAGACCGCCCTCAAAACCTCAGAGACCGCCCTCAAAACCTCCAACACCGCCCACTCTACCACACCAGAGATCGACTCTCCGCCCATCCATATTCACCTAAATGCACAAACCAAAGTATCACACTACCAGAGCAACAAAGAATAAGGTATAATAAAAGGAAGAAGAAGACCACAATGGTTGGAAGAACAAGCGGTGTAATGAGCGCTGTAAGACTGTGTGTGATAGTTGTGATGGCCGTGCTAGCGACGCTCTTCACACAGGTAAGGCGTTTGGGTATTCTCACCGTCACTCCCTTGCGTTAGCTTAGCATTTTAAAAGCACTACAATCACCTTCTGTGGTTGATTGTTCAATAAACCCCTTGAACTATATGTTTAATACATCTCTAACCCTGTCCATGGAGGACAGAAGAAAATGTATATATGCTGGTTAGCATTGTAAATGTGTGGCCACGTCTGTGGTAGAAAATAATAATAAAAAAAAACTCCCTTGTGTAAACATATACCAGGAAGATGGATTTTATATCAAATATAACATGAAAAACATGTATAAATATGAAGATGAAGCGGAATATATGTGTTCTTTAGTAGCTGTTTGAACATCAGCATAAAAAAAACATGATATATCGAGAAAATGCTGAATATATACAAAAGCACTATGTAATTAATGCTATTATCTACTCCCTATCCACGATTAGGTTAGGTTTTGTTAGGCTTAGTTACATTAATACGTTGTATTATTGTCAAACGCGAAAATTAAATTCGAAAACTATTTAAATATCCCCTAGAATTTCAATTACAGAAAACCAAATTCTTCAGACCATTTCAAAGAAAACGATTTAAGCATGGACTTTATATTTTAAACCAACAATTTCTAATACAATAAAGGTATAACTCGAGAATATTCTGTGTTTATGACAAAAGTTCACTCGCTAGTTTCTCATATATATATATATATATATATATATATATATATATATATATATATATATATATATATATATATATATATATATATATATATATATATATATATATATATATATATATATATATATATATATATATATATATATATATATATATATATATATATATATATATGTCGTACCTAGTAGCCAGAACACACTTCTCGGCCTACTATGCAAGGCCCAATTTGCCTAATAAGCCAAGTTTTCAAGAATTATTTGTTTTTCGACTACCTAACCTACCTAACCTAACCTAACCTAACTTTTTCAGCTACCTAACCTAACCTAACCTATAAAGATAGGTTAGGTTAGGTTAGGTAGGGTTGGTTAGGTTCGGTCATATATCTACGTTAATTTTAACTCCAATAAGAAAAAATTGACCTCATACATAATGAAATGGGTAGCTTTATCATTTCATAAGAAAAAAATTAGAGAAAATATATTAATTCAGGAAAACTTGGTTTATTAGGCAAATCGGGCCTTGCATAGTAGGCCGAGAAGTGCGTTCTGGCTACTAGGTACGACATATATATATATATATATATATATATATATATATATATATATATATATATATATATGAAGGGAGAATGGTGAGGTGTAGAATAGGTGGTGAAGGGCAGGGAAGGTGGGGAATGATAAGTAAGATGGTGAAGGCTTGGGAGGATGGCGAAGGGTAGGGAAGATGGTGAAGGAGAGGGAAAGTAGTAAAAGGTACAGAAGGTGATGAAGTGTAGAATTAGTTGAAGTTACACCGCCGCCACTCACCCCCCAAACAACCCCCTGCCTCCCCTCCTCCCCCCCCCCCCCCCCTCCTGAAATGCCTACATTCAAGCCTATCATCTCACTTTACAAGCATCTTAGTTCGGCAAAAATGAAGTAAGATACTACAACTAACATCTCCAGCAAGAATATAAACATTCTTCCAGAATTTATTCTTAAATGATCTTAGTATCATTACTTTTGGTCGGAGGGTTGACATGTAGTCTAGCCATGGTGAAGGGAGCGGAGGACCCCTTGAAGGGGGCGAAGGACCACTTGAAGGGGGCGAAGGACCACTTGAAGGAAGTGGAGGACCACTTGAAGGAAGTGGAGGACCACTTGAAGGAAGTGGAGGACCATTTGAAGGAAGCGGAGGAGTCGGAACCTTCACTGAAAGTAGCGGATGACTCCGCGGAGGGACACGTGGAAATCTTGGGAGTGACGGGGTCGCTGGGGTTCGTGATGGTGAAGACTGGGGACGAGGGAGTGTCTGGGGAGCTGCCGGTACTGATACCCAGCTGCCCGGTGAACGGCAGCTGGATAGTCCAGGAGAGTGGCAGCGGGCTGCAGGTCACTCCGGTCTCCAGGCCAGGAGCAACCGACGCCACCACAACATTCAAAGTGAAGCACTTCCACGGCGGGCTGGTACGAACGGGGCGGGCTAAGACTTGGGACCCCAGGACGCTGACGGTGGTGATGAAAGGTTGGCGGGTCCCAAGACGATCTCGTAGAACCCCAGGGCGCTCTCGTAGAACCCCAAGACACAGCCGTAGAACCCCAAAACACAGCCGTAGGCCCCCAGGGCGCACTCGTGGGACCCCAGGGCGCACTCGTGGAACCCCAGGGCGCTCTTGTGGGATTTCAGGGCGCACTCGTGGGACACCAGGGCGCACTCGTGGGACCCTAGGGCGCTCTCGTGGAACTCTACGGCGCTCTCGTGGAACCCCAGAGCGCTCTCGTGGTATTCCAGGGCGCTCTCGTGGGACCCTAGGGGGTTCTCGTGGGACCAAAGGAAGCTCCCTTGGGACCTCAAAAAGCTCAACTGAAACCCTAGGAGCCCGTGGAACCAAACGATGCTCCCGTCGGACTAAAGGACGCTCCATTGGGACCCCAGGACGCTCCAGTGGGACCACAGGACGCTCCAGTGGGACCACAGGACGCTCCAGTGGGACCCAAAGACGCTCCAATAGGACCCAAAGACGCTCCAATAGGACCCAAAGACGCTCCAATAGGACCCAAAGACGCTCCAATAGGCCCCAAAGACGCTCCGGTAGGACCCGAAGACGCTCCGGTAGGACCCGAAGACGCTCCAGAAGGACCCAAAGACGCTCCAGAAGGATCCCAGGACGCACCAGAGGCTCCAAAGGACGTCCTAGTGAGCCCCCAGAATGCTCCAACTGCTCCCGCCTGCTGATGGCCTGCTTCAGCGGTCACCTGTGGGCCATGGACCTCCCCATGGGGGACGCCGACCCTGACCGGACCTCAATCCACCCTTACTTCAAGGTCGTCATTTATGACCGGAGCCGGTTTGTGTTCATCCCACAAACACACGCTCAACGGGGCTCCAAGACAGTGACAACGGGACAACAGGAAGGCCAGTGGGGCTCCAGGACAGTGCCAACGGGACAACAGGAAGGCCAGTCCAGCCCGAAGACAGTGCCAACGGAACCACAGGGCGCTCAGGGGGGCTCGAAGATAGTGCCAACGGAACAACAGGAGGGCCAATTGGGCTCCGGAACAGTGCCAACGGTACAACAGGCCGCTGAATGGGGCGCCATGACAGTGTCAACAGGCGCGGCAGTGCAAGCAGTCGAGAACTTATTGAGAGTCCCAACGGTCCAGACCTTATTAACAGTGTCAACTGTCCAGACAAGAACGACGGTGTCAACGGACCAGACCGGAACACCAGCGCTAACGAACCTGACTGGAACGACAGTGCCAACAGGTGAGACCGGAACGACAGTGCCAACAGGTGAGACCGGAACGGCAGTGCCAACTGACCAGACCGGAACGGCAGTGCCAACTGACCAGACCGGAACGGCAGTGCCAACTGACCAGACCGGAACGACAGTGCCAACTGACCAAACCGGAACGACAGTGCCAGCTCCCCAGACCGGAACGACAGTACCAACTGACCAGACAGGAACGACAGTGCCAACTGACCAGACCGGAACGGCAGTGCCAACTGACCAGACCGGAACGGCAGTGCCAACTGATCAGACCGGAACGGCAGTGCCAACTGACCAGACCGGAACGGCAGTGCCAACTGCCCAGACCGGAACGGCAGTGCCAACTGCCCAGACCGGAACGGCAGTGCCAACTGACCAGACCGGAACGGCAGTGCCAACTGATCAGACCGGAACGGCAGTGCCAACTGACCAGACCGGAACGGCAGTGCCAACTGCCCAGACCGGAACGGCAGTGCCAACTGACCAGACCGGAACGGCAGGGCCAACTGATCAGACCGGAACGACAGTGCCAACAGGCGAAACCGGATCGACAGTACCAGCAGGTGAGACTGGATCGACAGTGCCAACGGGCGAGACCGGATCTACAGTGCCAAAGAGCAGAGCCACAGTGACCTCAGAGGAAGTGACCTCAGGGGAAGCCAACAAGGTCACAGTTAACATTCACCTCACTTGAGACTCACTTTATTTGTTTCTCATAATTTTTTATGTTCTTAAATTCATATCCAGATTATAAATCTGGATTACCTAATAGCAAAATAATAATAAGTGAAGAACTTAAGGAAAACTTCAAACATAAAATAAGCAAAAGTTGCACTAAGTTACCCTACTGTTGTACCAGCAGGCCAGAAGAGCCTCGGTCCTGTAGATCAATCCATATAATCAGCAGTTTCTTAGATGTTACTATTACTTATCTTTATCTACCAATCTTATAACCATGATCTCTAAGTTATTACAATAATTTCTCCCCCGAATCAACCTACCCTGGCTTTGCGCCCTGGTGAGGCCACTCCAGACCAGGCCGACATCAGAGCGCAACTCCATAGTCTCCTGAGACTGATGGATGCCTACTACTACTACATTAACTCTTTCTCTGCCTCTCCACAGAACATACTGAGGATGGACAAGGTAGAGGAGGTCGGTGTCCGCATCCGTGGCCCCTTGGCTGCTGGTCATCCAGGAGTCGTGGCCTTGATCAAGACACACTTTCTTAACCCGCCTTCTGTTTTGCCCTACAATCTTATCAAAGATCCCATATATACTCATATTAAACATGAAGGCTCTTGGGATTTCATCCGTGAGAATGTAGCAAAGGTATTGAACGGACAGCGAGAAGGTTTCTTCGTGGAGGCCGGAGCCCTGGACGGCGAGCGAGGCTCTAATACACTCTGGCTGGAGCAAGATCTTGGTTGGACGGGTCTACTGGTGGAGCCCAACCCGGCCAGTTATCACAAGCTAGTCAACAAGCACCGTAAGGCCTGGACATCCAACACCTGCCTCTCACCCGAACCGTTTCCCATGGAGTCTGTGTTAGTCTCGGTTGGCATGAAGAAACTGTTTTCCTTCAAGGCCCTGCAAAATGTATTAACAACTCGAGGGGCTTCATATTTACTGGGCTCTACTCTGGGAACAAATGCATTCGATTATGTCTTTGATTACTCTGATAAGTCTTATTATGTGACGCAGTGCTTTCCCCTTGGGTCCTACCTGCTGGCGCTCAACGTGGCCACAGTCGACTTCTTGTCCCTAGACATACAGGGAGTGGAGAAACAGGTCTTGCAGAATGTGCCCTGGGACTCGGTCACCATAAGGGTCCTCGCAGTGGAGATTGCAAATCCAGACAATTATGAACTGGAATTTGAAAGTTTTATGAAGAGTAAGGGATACAGACTAGAGGCGAGGGGGGAAATAGATTACATTTTTGTTAAAGAAGATGATCAAAGACTTAATATTTCTAAGGTCGAGAAGTTGGAAAAACTTGAGTAAGTTTTAAATACGTATCCTTTAAACTCATACACTTGGACTGGTCGGTACAACGACGGTCTCGCCCTCATGCAGGTTGAGGTTCGATCCCTGATGGTTCAAATAATTGGGCACCATTTCTTCCCTCAGTCCTATCCCAACTCCTTGCCCTTATATCCCTCCCAAGTATTATATAATCGTACTAACTTTGCACCTCCTCCCCATAATTACCTCACCTTACATATACTTTAATGCACAAGTACTGAATACGCATACATTTATACGTACGTGAAAAATGTGTTATAACACGTGGGGAATAATATGATAATGTATAACTTTAGTGGTTAGGCATCCATCAGTCTCAGGAGATTATGGAGTTGCACTCTGATGTCGGTCTGGTTTGGAGTGGCCTCACCAGGGCGCAAAGCCAGGGTAGGTTGATTCGGGGGAGAAGCTGTTACCCAGGCAGCAGGTCCCCCCTCTCCACGACGCTGAAAGTCTCCAATGGAAAGGCATACGCCAATACGATTGGTGCCAACGGCGCCAATCGTATCGGCGCTATGTTGATTATATTATCGATTGTAACTTTAGTGGTTACAATCTTTATATATTGTTCATTTAACCAAATATATATACATATATGACCGCATTACTGACGTTGTTGATCTTGTAGTGTAAGCGTTCTATGCATTTATTTCCTTAGTGTCAATATTAAGAAGAGCAATCACATTACTAAAATTCAACGGTAAAAAAACTATTAACTATTGAAGGATATATTTTCTTCAACTTTTCATTCCACTCTGGAACATCTTCAGGTAAGAGGAAATGTAGATGTTTATCTCTCAGAATGTTTGGTAATATGTTTATTGCTTGTGATGTGTGTCTATGTATGTATTAACACGATGTACTGAACGGGGTGAGAATAGCTTGAGCTGCCTCATCCCTTTGTGTGTATTTTACCTCAATAAACTTATTTCAATTTCTTCAGGTAAGAAAAGAATACACAAGATTGATAGATTGATGAAGATGAAGCCATCCCAAAGACGTGTAGCGAGTAGATTATCCCAATAATATACTCGCTCCAAATATAGTGTTAATATTCCTGTCAACCTTTGGAGATGAATGAGGTGAGGCGTTGCCCGGGCAACACGGTGAGGTGTTGCCCGAGCAATATAAGCAGCAAGAATAGCAAACATTAACTAGTCTACTTTCAAGTGTGGTCTAGAGCAGACACTTGCGAGATACTGTACCAACGCTCAGTGCGCTCAACTCACACCAACGTATCACCTGTGTACTTCTGTATATTCGACCAAATATATATATAGTATCTTAGTGTCTGTGTTTATGTCACCATACTTTACGTAACAATAGAACCGTTACAGACGGCACTGGTATGAGTAGTAGATGTTTGGAGTGAATGTGATGTTAAGTAGGGTCGATTGATTGATTGATGATTGATGAAGATTAAGCCACCAAGAGGTAGCAAGGGCTTGAATAGCCCGTAAAATACACAAGATGTTTGTTGTTGTTTTAGATTTAGCTACTAAGAACGAAATGTCCATGTAGCACGGGCTATGGTGAGCCCGTAATTGAGTTCGGTTATTGGCGATAAACTTGTTACTGTGATATTTGGGTCAAAGTTTTAAATGGAGGTGCGACTGCACCCGTCACGCAGGGTGCAGTCGCACTGCTATAGATCTCCGGTATCAGCTCTTGATACTGGTAATGGCTCAAAAGGGGCCACCACTTATGGGCTATTCATGCCCGTGCCACCTTTTGGGTGGCTTAATCTTCATCAATCAATCTATATAAATAAATAAATAAGGGGTCTACCCTTGAATGATCCACCGTTCTCGGAAATTGGTGAGCATTCTCACTTTCCTGACCATTTGATTCGATTCTGACGTTATCATTGTGGATCATTGTAACAGCTTCTTTAATAATAGATTAATAGTCACAAACATTCAAGATTTTACACTTAAAAAAATAAATAGTACACTTATACAGCTGAATATGGTTTAATTTAATTAAATTTTGTTTTCTTTTGTCTCCCCTTTAATTATTTTTTGTGAGCTCATAATAATTAAAATTGTTTTTCTTAGTCATTATTTTTATATTATTAATTTACTTTTGCTATTTATTTATTTTATTTTTTGTTTCTAAGACAGTTTAAACAAAATTATAATTTTGTTTCAAACTTGCTTGTTCTTTCATTCCTCTTTAATGTTAAGTCATTTATGTAAAATAATTTATTTATGTACTTGACGTTGCACCTAATCATTAAGGAGCATCCTACAAATATTAAATGTAAGTAATAATGTATTATAAATATTATATAATGTATCTTCGGATGTGTAATAGTTGGTAGTTTGGACAAATAAAATCTTATCAATTTAGTTAATAATTTATCTTTTAACTAATTTGTATTCGACAAATATCGTTGCTGAAGGCATAGTTTTTAAAAATGCTAAATTCAGACGGTGCGTAGTTGTGTAAAAGTGGCAACTTTTTTATTTTTGAAGTGGGTAATAGAAGTTACTTTACCTTTTTAATGGACTGACACGATGAACGAGTCTATATACCGATAGAGAGACTTTATATCTTTGTCTTAAGAGATTGACGGTTAACTATTGAAACTGTTGTTTCATTGTCTTGCATTTTGTGATCATATTCTTGTCCAATTCTGGATCTGTCTAGTTCTAGCCTTTTGAATTATCACACGTCTTTAGCACCAGCTTGAATTGGGGACCGGGAATTTTAAAGGGGAAAATTTTGACTTTGAAATAGGACTTCACAATGGGTCTGAAGGTCAATAGAAAAGGCATGGCCAGTATGGCCAACAAGACACACACTTCCAGGTACTTCTCGAGACCACCTAACAGTAGTATGAGACTTCTAACTCATTAACTGTACATTTGGATTTATAAATGCACATTTTAATCGGTCATGGGTGAATAAATATAAAATTTGCACCCCATATAACATTGTGTAACTAGCGTCAAAAGATTATTTGCTTAGCTAAACGAACTAAGTTCAGTTCCTGAACCGATTGTGCCTCTGTAATCCTTTACACCACCGCTCACGCGATGGGTATGGGGTGCATAATAAAGAATTGTTGCGGTATTCTAATGCAAATTAGCGCACGCCTGGTGCGGTAATGTCCCGTTACAATGTTCCGTCACAAGTTATCCAATCTATTCTCAAACTTGTTAAATTTTCTAAATGCTAGATGGTGGCTAATTCCAAATAGTTCCCTATATCACTATTAAAATGTAATTTAAAATTTTTGTGAACATTGTGGGTGCTGACCTACTCAGTTTGACCTCTGTTCAATGCTCAATTATACGCCAAATGCTCTAGGACCAGTGAAGTGTTCCTCCTGTAGTACAGCGACCAGTTTGTAAAATTTTAATTCGGTCCACTTTGTTTACTTCAACAGTGCATTTGACATTAAGGCACACCAGTCTATTTTAACATTAATAGAGCACTAAATGCATGTAAAGACACTTGCCAAGAATTTCTCAATGGTGATTTTTGCCGCAGCTAAAGATGAGACTGCGGTGGTTACTAAGCGCTGCCCTGATAATAGCGGTAATGGCGTTAATGCAAGCGTTCCCTCTGCCCTTCGATTCACAAATCCCAAAGGAAAGGTAAGTTATGGGTGAAGGACACGGTTCTTTTTTTTTTTTTTTTAGTAAAGTTAAATACAGCAACAGTCCTTATGATCCAAACAACGCTGAAAGAAGCTTCATATCCACAGTTGTACCACAATAAAGATTTTATTTAGAAGTGGTGTACTTAGTATTTAACAATTAAATTTAACCATTTCATGTTACCTGAATTTTCTTCGGACTGAATTAATTTAGCTATAAATCTTCAAGATTTTTCAAATTTATTGATCTATTGTAAATGTAATTTCAATTTTTGCAACCTTTTTCAAGCAAGGCAATCAAAGCTGGTCAATAGTGCAATATAGGACGTACTAGCAAATTGTTCAGCGAATGGCTGTTTTAGACAAAAGAAATATCGACGGGAATCTGTCTTTTAATTTGGTTTTCTATTGTAAATACTAAATACTAAAGACTAATGAAAGCCTTGCCGTCTTGTATAAATTTAAGGATTTGCATAACGGATATTCTTGTTACAGACATACTAGATCGACGCTTAATGAAGAGAGTAAACTACAATCAGAGACTGAAAATTTCGTCAAAGACTTAAAAAATCTGGCAAGTTATTGTTCAATCCTTTATCTTCCCCCACTTTAATTTCCTTTTTGAAGTGTTTAAATAAACCTCTTGGAATAATTTAAATGAGTTGTCAATTTTTTTTCCACATTCGTGGACTGAATGTGTTGTATTTCAGGCTATTAATTTGGAGCAGTGGATCGGAGAGTCTGAGACGGTGACCTGGCTAAAGGTAAGTCTCTTCTAGCCCTAAGTCTAATTTTCTTGTAGGTTTGTTCTACACACTTCCTAACTTGTATTAATTTTAACGTGATGTACCATTCTCTTGTTGCAGGAAAAGAGCATGGCCCTGCAGAGGAAGTCCATATATGATTTGTCAAACGACATTAGCGATCACTTCGGCAACATCGATTATGTTGCCACTTGGTTTTCTGAGAATTTTGCAGAATAATGTCGCCTCGTCTTTTCACCCGTCATATTAAATGTCGTAATTTATTCGCCCACTTAAATCTTTTAACAATTACTTTATAATTGTTAAATAAGATTATAGGCGATTATTTAACCCTAGCTTAATTGTAATTTGTCCTAGCGCATTATTCAAACTTTAAGTTTAATTAATCATAAGGCGGATTTAAAGTGCTTTCCTAGAGACGGACTATACTGCTTGTCTAGATAAATGCCGATATTATACTAGGATTAATATTGGTTAATATACAGTAATAACTTTTTTATATTGTATAGATATTAAAGATGACTGCAACTGCAGAATAAACCCAGATAGTCTGAAGCACATCGCTTAAAAATGTGCCAGATATTTGATTATGGTAAGTGCTAGTGTATAGTTTGTTTTGCTTAAATTCAAAAAGCTTTAATTTTAAGGATTTTTTTAGGGATAATGTTTAATACTTGTAATATAAATAAATCGTCCTAGCCGTATTGTATGATTTGAATGTCCTGGTAATTGTTACGTGTAGTGACAAACTGCAGCATTTAAATGAGACTTAATATTCTAAAATTGATCTAGATAGCAAAGTCAAAATAATTGGCTTTACACCCCTAATGCACTTCACAAGGCTTAATTTACGCAAGAAAATCATAACGAACGGTTGGCTCATTCTAGACGGTGCTCGTAAAGATAAACACGCTTTGCCCATGCCTCTACCTAGTTATTCAGTCCTCCATACTTGCATGCTGTTGGCAGGGTCGTTGGTCTTTAGTTACTGGTAACAAACTGCGTGCTCTTAAGAGTAGTGTCCCCCTCCCTCCTCCCTGGTCTTCCTCCTACCGCCGTAACCGGCGGTGGGAAACGGCTCTGGCGAGGTTACGTATTGGCCATACACGCTTAACTCCCGGACACCTAATGGAGCGCCGCCCTGCTCCTTATTGTCCCTCTTACGGTCGTGCATATCCTTGTTGAATGTCCCGACTTCCAGGGCGTGTCTAGCTTTCCGACCGTCCCTCGTGGTCACTTGTCGATCGATAGAATTCTTGGTGACTGATACCTTTTGATATCGGTCGGCTTGTAAGCTTTTATTCTCTTATTGGCATTCTTAGACACATTTAACGCCCTATGAATATCCCGCACATTTGATGATGCATAGCATTCCCGGCTTAGTGCCTTCGTTTAATAATTACTTACTTTATTATTCCTCTTCTGCCCGTCCTCATAAACAAAAGCAGAAATCCATTCCATCCACCCGGCAAACCCCTTGATTATTAATGAAAAAAATGGTTTAAAAAAAGACTCGCAACTGATGACGTTCGAACACTTCCGGAACAAGTGTTCCACTGGCGAACTTTGTTAGAACCACAACGCTATAAATGCTTCACCCATGTTCTACAAAAGTTAGTTACAATAAAGTTACAGCCCAACGCCTGTGCCAGGTAAGTCCACGACGGGCTCGCCATAGAACGTACTACTTGGCACTTTTTTTTTCCCAGTAGCTGAATCTACAAAAACTAAAAATAATCGCCAACAGAACCTAAACACCTAACCTACGTCTAACTATACATAGATTTTTGTATAATAAAAATTGGTTCATTCTCAAATTAATAACTTAAAACCGATGAATGTGTCTGGGGAGGACGGCCGCGGCTTTAAACAGCCTAGTGGGGACGAGCTGGCCTCTTGGAGCCTTTTTTTTTTTTTTTTCCCCCCCAATCTGGCTATATAATTTGCCTCGGCGTTTGGACAGCTAACATAATGAAAACTTAACTGCAGACAGTACGACAAATTATCTAGTCCTTCAATAATACTTTGAAATTACTCTTGCAAACCTTAGGCTTTTAAGTGTATCTAGTAGCTTGCACCCCCTGCCGAAGATGACCCTTAAGGTATCCATGTATACCTTATGTCATTGTAATTGAATGAACAAATTAGTTGGGCAACTCAATAATTCATTAATATTTTCAGACATTGCCCGAAACCCTACCGAGGTATACCGAATGTTGTTGCTAGTGCGCACTGCCAGTCACCTTCCCTTGTTAATTACTTGCAAATTTCTAGAGTTTACATAACACTTGCCAGAGTACTACTATTAAAACTGCTACCCTTCCCCACCACCTTTTTTATTTCGCATGTTTCGGTAAAGTTAGATCACATTAATGTTGCGTAGCCTTGAACACTGGAGTTTACTCCCCGATTTAATTCGGTCGCTTGTCTCGCGAGAAAGTCCTTGAATTAAGTATTTGGCATTGTTTGTCTTGTTTTGCTCTTGGTAGCATATAACGATAGTTGTTTTGCGCCCCATACTGTTTCCAGTCTTCATATCTCTTGATAGCTACTTGCCAATCTTTAAATTCGGAAATATTCAGAGCTAATAAAAATATTTTAGACCATCCAACAAATTAACACCTGTTTACCTAGCAGTAAACAAATGCCCAGGTGTTGAACTTGTGAGATAGCATCCTGGGGAAGGTCTACAGTTCCACCTTGGGAAGGAGGAGGACCTAGATACAAGGAGTGAGTCCCGTACCCGAGAAAACAAATAATTATTCAGTGTTAGGTCACATTACCTTGACTGCTGCTTCATCTTCCGAAGTCCGCCCAATTTTGTTTTCAGGGAAGCGTTGCCTAATATTCCCACGCTACACTTCTATGTAACACTAGGACGAGTCACATGCTCCCAAGTCGACTTTCCTTGTCCAACTGATCTCTTGTTGCGCCTTCGCACCTCATTTGCAATGTTATGCCACCAGCACCAGTTGAACAAAACATTGACTAAACAAGAAATGTCGCTATATGCAGAGCCACTCAATAAATGGAACTGCAGTGGAAATTAAGAATTTCTATATACAGCAACATTTCTTCCTTTCGTAAACTAACCATATTGTCATCCGCAATATTCTACAAATTTGCCATTGACAATTGCCTTGATGATTGAACCGTTTGTTTTAAATTAAATGAAAAAACTTGCCCAACCATTTTTCCCGTCTGGGATCCCTGACAGAACGAGGCTTACTGTGCAACCAAGTATTTAAATCTTTAAGTGTCTTCATAGAATGGTAAAGAAGCCTGCCATACCTTTTGAACTTCATTGCATTCTCAATTATAAGTGATAGCGATGGCTGAAAACAAACCATTCATATTTACAGTATTTCTTAAATATTTGCAATACATTGCGAGCTATTTCGAGAAATATATCTTTTAATACAACAGCTTAGATATTGTGGTGTTGCAAAATTTATATAAATTTACCACTTGCAAAATAAGCATAAAACCGATATTCTGTACTCTCATCCTCCATTAAAACAATTTGAAGGAAATAAAATTTATGTAGAAACCACAGAAATGCATAGATCTCAGATTGAAGCCTGAGTGACATAATCAATAAAGTTTCAGAATACATGTCAGAACACCGGGACAATAAATTAAAATAATAATTTCATAATTTATTATGAAGCCTAACAAGTGGATTTCAACCAAAACTGTATTAAATGTAAATACTAGAAAATTAACTATAAAGTATTTGAACAGCCTAATGGTAACATTTGTCTGACTGATAACAAAATTACACGAATGAGGTGAAGATGGTAATGTAGATGTGCGAGGTGGTAGTGGGGGGGGAGATAAGGATGGAATGAAAGGTTTGGGAAAGGGGGGGGGGGGTGAGGAAGGAAGGATGGAGTTTATTGTTTGGTGTTATGCTCCTGGATCCAGGTTCCAATCCTTTCATCCAAGTTGCTTACTCGCGTCTTAACGTCCTCATACATCTCTTTAAAGGTCGTATCCTTCAGGACGTTGGCCTTATCCTGCAAATATAACAGCTACTTAAAGAAAAAGTCGGCCGTCATTTCACATTTAATGCTAAATTAAATGATTAACAGAATATTTACACTTAAACTAATGTAGATATAGCCATTGCATTTTGTTCCGACCAAAAAGTTAAAAAAAAAAATACAAAAAATTTAAAAGTTCGACAGGTTCAACACAGTACCTTGAGCCAGTTCTTGACTGGTGTGAGGGAGGAGACTAGTGACTGCACCGCCTGGTTCTCCTGTGCCCATTCCTTTACCTCAGTCGCCTGAAATGTTTTGGGTATAAACATTAAATACCACAACATTCAATCGCCTAACTTAAAAGTCCCTAGAAATTCACGTACAATTTTAAAACATAAATGGAAGTCAAATAAAAGTGCATGAATTTGACTTTACATCAATTTACCTGTTCCTTGACATCAGTGGCAACATCTGAAGGGGTCTTGTTTGGTAGTTTCTTGAAGAAATAATCAGTCACGGGTCTGAAGAACGCCCTCACAGCATGAAACGTCTTTGATCCAGTACTTCTGTAAGAAAAACCAATTGAAACTTTAGATGTTACATCCATTATGGCTTGTCTAATCTTTTTCCAATACCGCTCACAGAATAGGTATAAGGTGCATAATAAATGCACTAAAGTAAAAAAAAAAAGTTTTACTAGAAAGAAGATGGCAAGAATTTTACATTTATTAGCGTTAAATAGATGAAGGCCATCCTGCTTCCATTGTCATTCATGTCAACTCTTTATAAAAATAAAGTACAGTATAATGCGAAAATAAATGCACAATAGTATGCCGTGATGTAAACTTACTTTTCCTCGGGATTATTGTTTTCGTCAACGGGCACAGCAAACGCCTGTGCTAGAGCCACCACCAGCAGCGCCGCCCCAAGGAACCACGACATACGCATCTTGACCTGCAGGAAAAAAATCACCACTCACTAACACATTTAAACTAAAACTTTTAGAATTTGCATGGTATACAATGCTAATAGTCGTGTTGGAGTGCAGAACACTACATGTGAGCGATTTAAAATAGTGGTGGACAGAGTATGGATGGATCATACTATACGAAACCCCATGCGACAACCACACCCCCTCAAAAAGTAATTTATAACCCCCCCCCCATGAAATAGTCTTGACACTAGCCACACCCAGGGAGGGGGGGGGGGGGGGTAGAAATAGCCTAAGCTACTTTACCCCTTTGAGATGTATTTTTTCTTGTCTCAAACATACTTGAACTTTAACTAGCCACATCCAAGCAAGATGGGAGACAAGCGGTCGCTTACGTTTTGTATGAATACCACTTTCCTTTAATTTATAATTACTCACTTGCCTTTATGTTTAAGCAAGATAAAGAGCAGAGACGATAAAGAACAGAAAACCAAATTCTAAGAAAACTTTCATCATTTACATATATATTTTACACCAGCTATTTATAATAAGATGAACAAATCTACAAGAGCTGTGATGAGGGTTCGAACCTACGTTCGGGATGATCCCTCACGCGCCTTAGGCGACTGCACCATGACATGGCAAATGAATTTCAACCGGGAGTGCTACTGCCCTCACACTGATCCAGCAGCCTCTCCAAGACAAACCGGGGTTTTACACAATTCCCCCATGCACCTCTCTCAACAAGCTATTCTACCTCTTCTATTTAAGTAAGGGCGAAGAGGTAGAAGAGCTTGTTGACAGAGCCCGGGTGCCATGGGGGAGGAATTGTGTAAAACCCCGGTTTGTGTGTGTGCGAGGCTGCGGGATCCGTGTGTACGAGCCAAAAGTGACGTTATTTTTAAGAGGACGGGTTGCCGTGTGAGGGCAGTAGCACTCGCGGTTGTAATTCTTTTACCAAGTCGTGGCACAACCGACTAAGGTGCGTCAGGGATCACATCCCGGACGTAAGTTCGAATCCTCATCACGGCCCTTGTGGATTTGTTAAGTTGATGTATAACGCTATTGTAATGTGTGTATAATACAATTGAGTTATAACTAGAGAATAATGTCTATTTAGGACAAGGGTTCACTTGCCAGTTTACATGTAGATTATTACTGAAATCATAATGCTTTCAGACCATCAAATATCTAAATAACTATCCAGATAATTTTTTTGGTGGGTGGGGGTGGGTAGGGTTTCTAATGGTAATTAATTTGTTCCGTGGTCGCAATACATCTATCTTTCCTTCATTCAAACTATTTTATTAAAGTCACGTATGGTTAATATTTTATTTATCAACATGAAATTACAAAAATAAAACAAAGGTGACTAGTAGACCTTAGAGAGGTTAACAAACGTGGCGCATAACGTTAAATATAGGCTGCGAGTCTGCCAAGTGTTAGTGGTCCTGACTATAGATCTTTCCGACACATTGCTCATCATTATTCAAGCCTGGTAAGTCCGATCAACACAGCTGGTCGCGCTAAACTCCCGTAAACGAGTCAAATTATAAGAAACTAAACTACATACGCGGGTCTATCCTAAAACACCAGGAAGCCTAACCAAATTCTACTATAAAATAGTCAACATATCACGTCAACAATCATTATCTTTTGAATAAACAAGACGATAAATCCAGACTACTTCTTCAAACGGTCCTGGCGTCACAGTCTTCCCGGCTTGGTGCCATTTGATGATTATTTACAGTTCAAACGGTCAATGTTACACAAGGGCCAAAAGAAAAATAAAGCTCAAGCCACAATGTACGATCGATAATAGATCCTTTTTCTACCTATATGGCAGTAAACCTAAGGAATCGTCTACCTGTCAATGCCACAATTAAATGACAGGACAAATAGTTAACATTCATTCAAAATGAGTTCAAACAGAATGTTGGATTTTTAGGTAGAGCTAGTATATACTATACTATACCTAAAGCCATTAGTACGCACAGCGTTTCGGGCAAAACTCAAAACTGCCTCATTGTAGCGAAAACCAATTTTCAGTAGCTGATAGAGGATTACTTCTATATGTTGCAACTGCACAACAAGTTGTTACAACTACATAAATAGCACAAGTGTACAAGTGTTTGAAGGTAAGTAGGCACGGGCATCCATAACTTAACTGTCCACCATAGCCTCAAATCACTCACTATTCACAAGATCACCTAATCATTAAATTAAAAATTAACACTTCAAGCATTATAAACCAATTTACAAATTAATCATGTACGGACCATGAAGTCAAGTTTTCAATTGTGAAACATTGCTTTATAACTTACCGATTAAAATTTGCCTGGAGAAAACTTGGTGGTTGTTGGCGTGGTAGATCACGGCTCTTGTCACTGTACTGAGGCTGACCCGCCAGGCCGCCTGACTTATATATACCGCCGACCTCACTCCTACGCCCATTTTAGCGGGAACTTATAAGAACATTAATGTGTCATGTAAGCTTTTCTCAACTTATATTCGATTTGAATATTAAATTAAAACAGTATTGCAATAATATTATTATAAATGTTGCATGGTTGTATATTAGACAATATATTAACTTGGCTTGCCGCGAAATTTGTTCACGTTCTAAGAAGTGGGGATGACTCGTTGGTGACGTAGTCGGTGGTCGCTGATTGGCTAGCGTGGCCTTGATGTCCAGTGCGTCACTTCCGCTCACGTGTTGGCCTTTGACCCCTTGACGCCTCCTGCTGCTCGCTAAGATACCTACAGCTACCCAAATTATTTGATTAATTTTCATTATTTAAACGTATCCATACTTTTTTATTTATATATTTGTTACAATTATGGTGTTATCACAATTGTTAAATAGTCAATGAAATTTTATTTATAATTGTATACATATATTACAGTCTAATTTCGCTCTGCTTCAGTAATCGCTTAAGACCTGCTCTAGATGCTGTCCGTACAATAAAGAATCGATATTAACTAAAATCCATATAAATACAAATATCTAATAATGTACTGAATGAGGATAACTTCAATTTGTTAGTAAAAACATTGGATTCTAAAAAATTATTACTAAAACATTATGTATCGACTTGGACATCACTTTCGTGTGTTTTCACATGATATTTTACTCATCGCGGATGCGTATGCTTATTTTAAACCATAAAACTTAATAATTTAAGCACACTAACGGTGCCTTCTGTAGATATATATAATGTTAACTGTTGTAGGCGTACCAGTGTAAGAGGTTTTTTAAGGCGGTATATGACTGCTTGGCAGGACAGTGTTGGATATCAATAAATGAATTGGAACAGTTTATTCACGTTTAACAGTGATCTTAAGAGCCTAAATAAAGAACTCTGTAGTAGACCTACTGGTGCATGCAAGGCTGGTCCAATTCACACCCAATTATGTTAATTCGGTATTCAAAGTTTGAAGTATCATCGTAAAACCCAATTACATTATGCAGTTTTGTTTGGAAGAAACTGCACATAAGAGAATAGCAAAGATAATTAGGAACATTATAACCCTCCTTATGAGCAGAAATTCAATATTTTAATTTGTCTGGCACAGGCAGCCTATGTATATATGCGTTAGGCTTATATCGAGATAACCCCAAAGTTGAACTACTGACCCTCTCCAGGATGCAACCTTATAACTGTTGACAAATGTTGACAAAGGCATTAGGTGAAAGGAAACGTGCTCAACCATTTCTGTCCTGCCCGGGATCCTAATCCAGGATTCCCGATTGTGAGCCGAGAAGGAATCCAACTGCACTACCCGAGACTCATTAAAAAGCATAATATACATTCTTTAGAACAGTAAAGTGTAATGGAAGTGGTGTTAGACTTTAGGTCCTTGTCGACCAACATCGACAAGGACTACAGTAAACTCTTAATATTCAGTACTATATGTAAACCGAGAAATCTCTTGGTGTGTATATCACTGAACATACACACATATACAGTACTGGTTTGGAAATAAAGTTGTAGATATATTCTATTTCAATTTCATTATGTGCATTGTTAGTCAATTTTAGTATCTTTAACAGAGGGGTGTCAGACGATTTGGTCAGTAAGTTACAGTGGTTGTCATAATAATCTTCCAGCGGTTGGTAGGCTTCCCAACACCAAACCAAGATAAGGAGAGAGGGAGGGGTCAAGTATACTCAAGAACGCAATAGATAGCCTACACTACTACGCCAGCTGTGTGCAAGTTTTCCAGTTTATTCAAGCCCTCATATTAGCATCTTTCTCGGACTATTTGATATGTATTATGTATGGAACCGGTTCAGTGCTACGTTTTCCCCAGAACACAATCCTCCATTCTGTTTCAAATCCAGGTCCCCAATTACTGTTGGGTGCACAAGGGCGATCAGTGAAAGGAACGGTGTCGCGTTCAACCACCCTACCCAGGATTCGAACCAGAGTCCTCTCGCAAGCGAGGCGAGTGTGTAAACAATTCTACCCTTATTTATCTTATCGCATCTTGTAGAATTCATATTTTCCTCCTCCCCTTTAGGCATACTGAATGAGAAAAATACACTACGTGGACTCATACTACTGTATAATACAGCTATTTGCGGTTTATATTGTCCATGACAAAGTAAGCTGTATCAATGAGTAAGACGGATATAAAGAGATCCTTGTCAGAACTCACATCCACTCACCATAACAATTAGCTGTAACGCCTGGATGTACTCTAATATAAAGCTTATTAATGCAGACAACATTGCCTCACATTTGAGTGCAAGAAGGGTTTGGAAGCTTATCTTATGTTGGGTCGCCACTGTTGATAAATAAGGAAGATGACCGTAGCCATGATCCTCCAGTGGTACGTCACACCACATGACAAATAGACACAGCTCAAGGAAATAGGATCAGGTAGTCACCAGCCGGGCATTATGTGTTTATTGCAGCGTTTCTACCTTTAAAGTATTTTAATTGTTAATTAGTTAATTCCTTAATTTAAGGACTTTAATTCCTTAATTTAAGGACTTGTTAATTCCTTAATTTAAGGACGTGTTAATTCCTTAATTTAAGGACTTGTTAATTCCTTAGTATAAGGACTCGTTAATTTCTTAGTTTAAGGACTCCTTAATTCCTTAGTTTAAGGACTCCTTAATTCCTTAATTTAAGGACTCGTCAATTCCTTAATTCCTTCCTTGAGCGCAGTGTGTATACTTTATTTATATTTTAGCACGCATAGAGTTCCGGGCAGTATGGCGTGTCGCATATTGAAATAGTCAATAAAGGTTCTTACCCGCCGCTTTAGGTATAAAGAAATGACGCTACGTGGTCAGTGATAAAGGACATGGACAGGCGTGAATCGTGAACACGTGAACAGGCAACAAGTTTAACGCTGACATGCGCACGTGGACCTGAATGCGCATGTCCACCAACAGGTGCGCGGTGTGGACTCTTGGGCTCCATTCTCATACACACAGTGCTGTTCTGGATTTTCGTTATTTTGTATTACAGCACAATATATAGGGCAGCTGTTCTTAAATTTGAATGCAGTAGGGTAAAGGTTGTGAACATATAGGGGATTGAGGAGGTTAATTAGCGTCCAGAATCCCATGGGTACATGTACCCACCGAAGCCTAAAATACCAAGTACTAATACTTTTCAAAATTCCGCTTGAAAAAAATCTTCAGGAATAATGAGGGTGGCCTTTGACAAGTCGCAGAATTCCTGTCCCCATCAGGGCCAATAGGTAAATTTCTACTTGTTTTAACATCGGTCAGATACGAAGAGCCTCAAACGAGCACTAAACATGGTTCCAAGAACAGCCACGAAGAACATATAATCAAAAGAAGGGGCCACGTCACGCCCCACACGATACGTCGATTCGTCAACAGATTTTAAGATATTTCTAACCTTACCCAACTTAACCTAACCCACCAGTCAGTTTAGAAGACGGAGCAAAGGTTATGAGTTTACGTATCAGCTATAGGAGGTGACTCACTAGCTATAGGAAGTGGAGTAATGCCTAGATGATGGTGTATTGGCTATATGAGGTAGTGTACTGGGAAGATGTAGTATTGGTAGTGATGGAGTTTAATGGCTAGGTTGTGTACTAATTATGATGTGAAGTTCTGGCTAGCAGGCGGAGTATTAGCTAGGTGGTTGGATGCTGAATAGGTTTATGGATTTATAACCTGAATTCAGGTTGGATGCTGAATAGGTTTATGGGGTGCTGGCCATGGCGTCGGGCATGTTGTCGTAATGTAGCAGAGAGCGTGATGTTGAATGTACAGGAGACAGGCGCGTGAGTCATGACGGATGTTTTCCAGCACCCAGTGTTACTCACCCTTGCTGACGCTCGCCCAGCTGACGATATGGGGCTTCACTTCCAACAACACTTGAGTATATTCACTTAGGAAGGGAGGTAGGAGCAAGCATGCACGGACTCATGCACGCGCATTAACGGAATGTACTAGGAAGTGATGTGGTGGAGGCAGACTCCATATACAATTTCAAATACATATATATGATACCGCCCCAATAGGCTCAGCAGTACACCAGTTGATTGAGTGTTGAGAGGCGGAACTGAAGAGACTAAGCTCATCCCCGGGAAAGACAATTAGGTGAATAGCATTAGGTGTGGGTACACATCAGTGAAGAGAAATTACGATTGGAGTACGATAAGGGGTCGGTGTTCGGACCCATCCTGTTTCTATGGAAACGTCCTGACAAGATCAAATTGGCTTCTTCATATCAATGTTTACAAATGGCACAAAACTAATGAGGATTCAGTCGAGATTTTATAGATAGGCTGTGGTATCTAAGGTAGACTATGGGGGCTTCAACCACCTTTGGTCCAGGTTCTAGTCCAGCATAACTCCTGAAAAAATTGCTATAGGGTTTGGTTAGGTTAATACGCTGCAAACACAGTGGTAGACGGCTGGAACAAGTTATACGAGAAGGTGGTGGTGGCCAAAACCGTCAGTTGTTTCAAAGCGTTATGTGACAAAAAGAGTACTGGAAAGATTGGACGCAATTCTTCCTGTAACCCCCCCCCCCCCCCCGCCTTCACACACACACACACATACATTTAGATTTAAACTCACGAAACAAAGATGCCGGAAAAATATAAGAAAATTCACTTTTGTAAACAGAGTGGTAGACGGTTGGAACAAGTTAGATGAGAAGGTGGTGGAGGCCAAAACCGTCAGTAGTTTCAAAGCGTTATATGTTATATGACAAAGCGAGCTGAGGAGACAGGACACCACGAGCGTAGCTCTCATCCTGTAACTACACTTTGGTAATTATACTTACGTAATTACACACACACCCTTGGGTGTGCACGACACAGGGGCCGGTGGCTGAGCGGACAGCACGCTGTGGTCACGTGATCCTGTGGTCCCGGGTTCGATTCCTGGCGCCGGCGAGAAACAATGGGCAGTTTCTTTCACCCTGATGCCCCTGTTACCTAGCAGTAAATAGGTACCTTGGAGTTAATCAACTGTCACGGGCTGCTTCCTAGTGTGTGTGTGTGTGTGTGGTGTAGAAAAAAAATAGTAGTTAGTAACAGTTGATTGACAGTTGAGAGGCAGCCCGAAAGAGCAGAGCTCAACCCCAACAAGCACAACTAGGTAAATACACATACAGGAAGCAGCCCGTAGCAGCTGTCTAACACCCAGGTACCTATTTACTGCTAGGTAACAGGGGGCATCAGGATGAAGGAAATGGTTCATCAGAATGGAGCATCAGAAGGAAGGAAGGAAACGCTGCTCATCTGTTTCCGCCGGCTGCGGGGATCGAACCCCGGTTCCTATAGGTCCACGAGTATAGAGCGCTGTCCACTCAATCACCAGTCCGTGTGTGTGTGTGTGTGTGTGTGCTCGTGCGCGCGCACCGGAAAGCATGTACAGTCTGACACAACTGGGAGTCCCACAGCAGCTGGTGAGAGGCTCGTCTTGTAAATTATTATAATATAACCCGAGTGATGCCATGTCCGAATATCACGTATACCACATCCGTATATTATGTATTACGTCATATACTATGCCCATATATTATGTATGTTTTGGTTTTCTTGAGTTCCAGACATCTAAAAGAGAGACTTCTGAGGTAATATTGCTGGTGAATCTATAGTCACTTTCTACAACGAACTTGACCATTTTAGGTGAAATATTCTGATGCCAGAAACGCTGTGCGTATGAGTGACTTTATGCGTAGTATATACTTGCTCTATCAAGAAACCCAACATTCTGCTTGTAACTCATTTTGTATATATGTACTTTTGCCTAAATAAACATTATCATTATCACTAGTGGGAGGTAACGCGTGAGGCTAGCCGCTGGGCCAGCTGCTAGGGAGAGACAATTTAACTTGTTTACCCCTAAATATTACATTTGTCAAGTGTATGAAAAAACATGTGCTGGCAGATCAGCAAAACACGCAGAAAAGCACTCTAAATTGTTTATATAATTACTAGATGCGGTATCCGGCTGCACCCGGGTCTCCCAATCTGCCCCTTTGATGTCCAAAGGGATTGGAAAGGATGGGGGAGGTAGAGGGATGGGGAGATGAAATTCAGGAAGAGGATGCGGGTGTAGAGAGAGAGGAGGTTTGAAAGTTCGATGGCCTGTCCACCATGGGTTGACATATGTGTATGTGTCGTTTGTTTGCGTATGTGTTGTTGGGTTGTCAGTACACTGGCTGGGGGGGCTGCCCCCTTCTTTCTCATCTCTTTCTCCCCTCTCCTTCCCGCCCACTGTCCTTCCCTCTCTTTCCTCCCTCTGTCTCAGAAAATTTATTATTACAAAGTATTGTACTGAAAAATTTCTGAAACTCTACGGAAAACACATACGCGATTTAATTTCAGACTTTAAAAATTGCCAGGAGAGTCGGTATAGATGCTTTTATTTCTAAAAGTGTGGAACTAGTGCCGACCTGGACTGGCCTGTGACACTACCGTACCCCTTTGTTTCATACTGGGAAGCTGAAGCTTCAATAACAGATTCAATAGGAGCTACCATAAGACGCAAATTGTAATAGAAAGACGTCCGCGAGTCGACTGAAGACTAATGCCATAGTACAGGACTGATGCTCAAACCCCACAAGCACAGAGAGTACATATACATGAATATGCATATATCTGCCCGTAAACACACACATGCATCAACAAAGTAGCCCTCAAAAACACACTTGCATGCTCACAAGCGCACGCGTGAAATCGTTTTGCGTAAAATGTGGCTGCCCGAGTAATGCGCACAAGTGTTTAAGAGGGAGTTATGCAGCTGTACAAGTATTGTTGTGACCGACCCTCTCCACGTACTCCAAATCTTCTCGAAACCCAGCCACGTCATCACTCCTGTATTAAAATCTTTAAATCACTACTTGTATCCATAAACATGCGTTTTCGCCGAACCAACACAAAATGTGATGAACGATCACGGGTTTGGGAAACTTCGATAAGCCAAACAAGCATCCTCTTTTCCGACAACGGAAAAATCCCCCCAAAGTGGAAATCAGCAATGTCGCCCCATATCTTAAAGAAAGTCAAAAGGTTCAGTAGAAAATTAGACTTATCAGCCCAACTTCGCATGAACATTTACCTGAGGGGCCATCATCTCTCCATTGGCAAGTAGGCAGTTCCATTAGTTTATTACTGTATAAGTGAAAAGGCGTCTGTTTCCTGACCTACATTGTGGCTTGTTGAGTTTGAAGCTGTTGTTTCTCAAGTGCAACATTGAACCTTTTAAAGGGGGTGATCTAGATTGTTTTCCAATTTGTTCAGTATTTTAAAGGTTTTGATGAGATGTATTCTTCTTGCTCTTACATTCTTTCTTTGCGAGAATGTATTATTTTCTCTTGGTGTTTCTTGTAGTAGTCTTTCCCTTATAGTGTAGTTACCTAAAGTTTCCATTCTACTTTTTTCCATCTAAATTACCTTACACAAATTTGGATTGAATTCCAGAAGTCATTTATCTGCCCCCTCCTGAAATTTGTCAAAGTCTTCCCGCAACACTGCAATCTTCTTCAGTTCTTACTCTCACTTACATGTCAGAAAGAGCAACAGTCCTAGGATAGACCCCTGGGGAGCTCCACTTTCCACTCCTAACCAATCCTCGCTGGCACTAAGGTACTGGGTACTCGATACCCAGTTCAATTTTTGTTCTTGTTATCCATGTTTGCCTGTCCATCTTGTGTACTGTATTAGTCTTTCTTGAGGACCTTGTAGTGTAGATGATTTTACTATACACACACACACAGGAGGCCTAGATTCTTTACAATAACCTGACATAAGGATAGTAGACATACATGGCAGGCCATATGGCCAGGCTGGATGCAGTCCGTATGGTGAGGGCCCCCGACTATTATTCTTGAAGTTGCACATATGTGTTCACCTATTTGTGCCTGCAAGATCGAGCTGTTAGCTCTTGGACCCTGCCTTTCTAACCATAGACTATCTAAAGTACTCACTCTCGACCTATTTTCTTTATCATATCTATATAAAATAAAATGTGTGACCAAAGTAAGAGTCCAGATACTTGGGGTTAGCCTCACTCAACTTTCCAACATGAAACATACAGGATATATGAGTGTCATAGGCCGAATGGGGTCCATCCAAGTGTCATGCTTTAAAAAATGTCGACATCAATATAGCCCCCCCACCCTGCGATTATCATGAAATCTGAAATAAAATTGGGGATGTGTTTGCCTTAGAGTTTACCCACCAATTTTCATAGTTTTCTTGAAAACAATGAACTATAAATTCATTATAGTTATTGTATTACATTTTCTGGGTAATTGTGGTGTGTGTGTGTGTGTGTGTGTATTCACCCAGTTGTGCTTGCAGGGGTTGAGCTTTGCTCTTTTAGCCCGCCTCTCAACTGTCAATCAATCAACTATTACTAACTACTATCTTCCCCCCCCCCCACTCACAGACCCCTCCAGTAAGCAGCCCGTAACAACTGTCTTATCTCCAGGTACCTATTTACTGCTAGGTAACAGGGGCATCATGGTGAAAAACTGCCCTTCTTTTTCCGCTGGTGCTGGGAATCATACCTGGGTCCACAGGACTACATAGCCACCAGTGCCCTGTATATGGGTATGTGTGTGTGGGGGGAGGGAGTCGTGTCTTGGGGAGTGAGTTATGAGTCACTTATGCAGTCCCCATGGTGTAGTGTTAAGAGACTCGCCTGGTGTTTCGCGGTTCGCTTTGTCCTGGGTTCATATCCTGACCAGAGAGGATTTACTGGGCATCAATCCTTAACTATTAGCCTCTGTTTACCCAACAGTAAAATGGGCACCCGGTTGTTTAACAACTTGGCGGGGTCGTATTCTGGGGAACATAAGATTAAGGACTTGCCCGAAATGCAACCTGTGTTAATGGCTGTACAAGAATGTAAGAACTCTTGTATATACGGTATATATATATATATATATAGATAAATAAATAAATAATAAAAGTGTGATAAGGAGCAGGAAAATGAGCAGTATGTGGTGTGAACACAACCCTGGAAACTACTGCCATATTGTCAGATGACAATGACAAATACAATTGAAGGGACTGAGTCTCACACATGATGATTTTATTGTTGTGAAATTGGGCAACTCCAGTAAAAAAAATGGTTAATGGAAAAAGTCCGAACAGGCATGGGGGAGGGGGGGGGGGATTGAGATGTAAAAAAAAATGTAAAGTATTACAGTATTCTTGATCACTAAATTTGAAGTGTCAATGGCTTGTAAAGACAGCCATGCTTAAAATCGTGTTCTATAATATTAATGCAATATAAACTGTAGCTAAATTGTAAAATATAATCTTACACCACATAAAGGTGTGGGGATTATGAGCAGGGAGCCGGTCGGCCAAGCGGACAGCACGCTGGACTTGTGATCCTGTGGTCCTGGGTTCGATCCCAGGCGCTGGCGAGAAACAATGGGCAGAGTTTCTTTCACCCTATGCCCCTGTTACCTAGCAGTAAAATAGGTACCTGGGTGTTAGTCAGCTGTCACGGGCTGCTTCCTGGGGGTGGAGGCCTGGTCGAGGACCGGGCCGCAGGGACACTAAAAAGCCCCGAAATCTTCTCAAGATAACCTCAAGGTAAACTGCAGAGGAAAGACTTTACATGTTACCACTCACTTAGCCTGTGGAGACAAAAAAAAAAGAACTAGTTTCTTAAACTATTAATTTGAGACAAAGCATTTGAGAAAAACTATAAATAGCCACAGCTGCATTGGTACAGGAAATGAGAAACATAATATGTTGTATTAAGCACACTAAAGGAAATTAACAATAATCTATTTGTAAACAATATTCTTCTTTATTTTAATTCAAATAGAAAGATTAATGCAGTAAAGAGCTAGAGCTGCAAATATATATTCAATTTACCTTGTACACATTACATTCTAAATAATTACATAATATCTTGTTCTATAAAATAGACCTTATACAATAGATGTTACAGCATATCCATTGTTACTGTATTTAGCAACTTGATGTTTCTATTAAAATTTTGCTATAACATAACTTATGAATTGGAGAATGAATTCAGTACCTGTATATACATTATATTAAATTTGCATATATGTACAGAAATTTATTGTGATTCTTAAAATTATAACTCTTGTCAGTTAAATAATTGAGTAATGTAGTCTCTCATTTATGATACATACAATACATACACGAGTGTCTTTCACAAAAAACATTTTCTTACAGACAAATATTTACTACTAATACAAATTTGAAAAATGCACTTCTTTATCAATTAAACAATGTTCCATATAAATGCACAGTGCTTGGCTGGCATGCCAGCCTATTATTAGTATTTGTGCTTTTTTAATTACACAGCTGGAAAGTACAAAAGTTTGTAGTTGCTACAAGTTACACAGTACATACACAGTTAACATTATCTTGTTACAACACTCACTCTTGTTTTACTCTCTGCTCTCTCACTCTTGCTTTTCTCTCTACTCTATCTCTATTGTTTTTAATTTCTCCTATACTCTCTTTACTGTGTCATTGTCTTTATATCACCATCTCATATAAATACAAAAGAGCAGACACTACCATTCATTCACATGAACCGCTGGGTGCATCTCTATCCAATACCTTCCCTAACCTTCCCTGCCTCAGCCACTTTACGTCCTTAACTTACCCTGCTCTCAACTTTGCTTGCATAAGTTTTTTTTTCAATTGCATATTCCAAGTATTTAAACTAATCAAGCAATTCTCCAATCACACTGATTTCACACATGCAGTTTACTTATCTCTCCACCAGATAAGAAAACTCATCACCTGCCTTTCACTAAACATGCAAACACTCCATCTTCAAGTGAAATTGAAGTGCCATGACATATGACAAAACCCTTAGCATTAGGCCATAATAAAACTGTAAAATGAACTTCAAACAGTTAATTTTTCAACTTCTTTCTCAAGTGAAGAAAAAGATAAGAATATTTCATTGGTCTACACTGCCCAATAATGAAAATAAATTTAAAGTAGTTTTAGTATCATATATAAGTAATAAAATTTCTAGTTAATGCAATATGTTATAAAGATATTATGTAGAAAACTAAAAACCTGAAACTTTTGCCCGAAACACTGTGCGTATGAGTGCCTTTAGGAATACAGTAGTAGGTACTAGCTTTATCTAGAAATCCAACATTCACTTTGTAACTCATCTTGTATGTATGTACTTTTACCTGAATAAACATTTTATTTATTTATTTATTTATTTATTTATTTATTTATTTATTTAAAAATAAAGTTTGTTATTTTTTGTATTATTATTAATAATTTTTTTTTATTACATTACAAAATCCATTCCTGAGATATGGAACAGAACTCTGTCCAAAGAAAGAAAAAGAATAATATACATGACTAAACCATAAAATATTGCTATCAGGTATATACACTTAATTCAAGATAAAAAACTCTTTTTTTTTTCTTAAATATACTTGTACTTATCAAGTCCTATTTTGTGTTTTTATTTCAGACAAAAACCTCAAACATTAAGACAGGTCATTGTATAGTGAAAATCCCTTGGAGATGGATGGCTTTTGTAGATTGAAGACTTTTTGACACAACATTACTTCTTTAAAGACAAAAAACAATTCCAGTATCAAACATCCCTGAAAAACGATAATAAATAAATTTGGAAATAAAATTGGATACAGAATTCAAAAACACACTACTGATATATCATTATCATTGATATAAAGATATCATGATAATGTTAACATTGAGCAATAAGAATTTTAAAACAAACTACATTAATACTGAATCCATTTTTCTAACCATTTGAATGCATCTAGTAAAATTATAGTTTTGACAATATAAAATTATTATGCCACTTTAATATGACATAACCAAGCTAACAATGATGTTTTATGCAACAACAAAACTAGAATTTTTGGCATATGATGTTCTGAAGCTTTCAATTGTTTTGGGGTCCAGTATCCTCTTGCATAATTTATTCTATCACTCCATTCGCAAAGGAGAATTAAAGTTATTTATTTAGCATCTTTGCTTTCTTAATTTGAATACTGTATTAGTCAAGAATGACAATGTCCTATTACTGCAGAAATTAAATACACTATTTATTATGACACAGAAGGGATTGTTATGGGAACAAAAATACATTGGAGAACAAATGTTCTCCAATGGATTTGATTGGAAAAATTTGTTTATATGTAAGAATTTAAATGAGAAGAATGCAATATGTTACATAATTTATAATGAATGTACCCAAAAATACATTCCTAAACAGAAATGCAGAACTGAAAAACACTGGTTCATATTTTTTATTTAAAATAAAACACGCAATACTGTACAGTATATAACAAATAAATTAACCTACCTCCAAAGTTTGAATCCCATCAACATGACATACCATTGGTTTCGTTCTTCCTTTCAGTTTCCAATATATCTAAAATGTAAAAGCAAAATTTTTTTTATTCAAAATGCAGTTCACTCTCAATTTTACCCAACGATATGTTTTCTATGACCTTGTCTCAACAATCCAAGAACATTTTTATTTTTAATAATTTTGAGAAAAATAAAATGGATTTCACAGTGAAGAACTCTTAAAAGTAAACAAAATTAAATAATAGTAAATGTGTTCTGATAAAAAAAAAATGGTGAAAAATAAGGCTGCGAGTTATTATGAAAAGTTCTTTTCCAAGCAGATAATTTGGCTGGTACCCAAGATGATGCAGTAGTAATGTAACACATTTGCCCCGTGCTTCACACACGATTTGGTCTGGTTCATATCCTGGCCAGGAGGATTGAGTAGACACCAGTCCTTAGCTGTTTACCTCTGTTCACTCAGCAGTAACTGTGTACCCTGTACTTGGTTGTTAACCATTTGGCAGGTTGTGTTCCGGGAAAATTAATGGGCAAGGCTTACCATGAGCTATGAGAATGGAAAGCTTTCAGCCTGCTACCAGAAGTTATCTGTTCCTGTGTACACCTGTAGTTCAATGTATGCCTGTTTAGTGTAGACCTGCGTGAAAAAAAAGATCCACAGTATCTATGGAACAGCATTATGCATCATCAGACAGGACAACATTCTGGCACCTAAATCACAGGGAACTTTAGAAACTGTTCCAACATGGTCATTAAGGTGCCCAGGAGTTACTGGAGAAAAATCTGTCCGGCTCAGGATTATTAAAAGACTACAGTGTTCATAACTCAAAACCCATTACAAACCCTCACTTGGCATCACAGGCAACAACTAAGAGAAGGCTCTGCTAATTACCAGTTGCTGGGAAATACTGATTACACTGTCAAGAACTGCTATGTCAACCAGTAAACTTAAACATATTTGTCAAAGTTAAACCCTGCTTGGGAGGTTGGAAGCATAGGAAGCTTAGTTTCATTGATGCAGCTATACCACTATTATCCCAATCTGGAACTGAGAGGATGCTTCTCAAGGCCAGTGCCCTGATAAAGTCTGGGCCAGTGCAATTCCCACAGCAGACGACAAAACATGAGCACAAGATGGAAATGAGGAAACACTAGATTAGACTGTGTGAAATAAAGAAAGTAAGTTTGTTCAACACAAATAAATATCAGCCCACTTAATGAGTGCAATGAAAACCAGACCAGCACCTCAAACATTGCTTCAGTTTAATTTGAAACTTTATTTGAAGTAAGATTTAAAAAAAAAAAAACTTATTTTTTTCACACCCACGTGTGGAAGAGTCCATCTCTGAGCCTAAGAGGGCCACCTCTTCAGAAATATCATTCCAGGATTCACACCAAACCAGCTCCATGGTCTAAAGAAGATAAAATGGAGTCTCCTTTTTCACAAAGGTGGGTACAGGTTATGTAGATGAAGTTTAGTTCCCGGGCTGATATGAATGTAATAGATCCTGGCATCTGTCGATGCACATGGAGTTCTAAGCCTACTCCATGTAGACCTAGAACTCCTCGTTCTCCCCTCTCTTTCCCCTCCCGGGGAGGGGGGAGATGCGCAGACAGCAGCGCGGTGACGTGGTGACGTGACGTCATGCTTGTTTGCTCGTTTTCATTTGGGGAGTTCTGACCACTAATTCAACTTTCAGAAGCAATATTTTAACCAGAACAGGGGTTTGTTTTGGGGCGCTTACCTTTTTTGGGTACCTGACCTGATCGATGGCAGACATAGAATGCTTCCAACCACACGGGGGTTTCTATAGGCCAGTGCTCCTCGTGCCTTTCTAAGGGGGCCAGGTTCTGGTTCGTGGTCCCCAGTAAGCCTAGAACTCCATGTGCATTGACTGATGCCAGGGTCTAATACATTCATATCAGCTCGGTTAGCTCCGGGAAGCCAAATGGGCTCTTCCCAGAAAGTCTAATAAGTAACTGAGTGAGCACATTCTTTTGATACTTTAATATCATGATACAGTGCACTCCAAATAATGCATGCTTTATCCTGTTTTGTATAGTTAATTAAACAAAATATTTGCAGAAGACATCCATATATGTACTTACCTCTTTGTTAGTACTAAATTTTATAATTAGATCCAGCCCATCTTTATCAACTACTGTAGCATCAAAAAGTTCATTATTCTGTGATAGTGTGATTAAAACTTGAATACAGTTACTAATAACCCATGTTGGTCCATCTCTTGGAAATTGCTGAGCATCTGGTAATGCTTCTTGTATGCACTGTATATTCACTCTTATATCAGCGCGGGCAACTCGAATCTGAAATTAAAAATGAATCTAAAACAAATCTGCAAATTTATTATTAAACATAATAATAATAATGCGCCGCCTGAGCCATCCTGGTCATTGAACCGGGTGCTCTCTTATCTCTCTTCCCCTCAGTTTGTAGTGGCCCCTTTGGTTCAGGTTTGTCTCTCCAGGGCTCATTTTTGCTGTTGGCATTGGCCTCTGGGGGTCGGGTCAGGAAGCTTCATACTCTCCTCTGGTGCAGGGGTTTCTTCTCTTTCAGCTCTGGTGATAGGTTTGTTCGTTTGCAGCTGTCTACTTGTTTTCTGGCGGAGAATGTGCCAGCTGCTTTCCGGAGGGGTCCTTGGGTTGTTGATGCTTGGTTAGTCAGGCTGGGGATGCATCATATGTTGTGTCTGGTTGCGGCTCTCCTCCATTTTTTTTTTTTTTTTTTTTTTGCGCACCGCGGCTTCTATGTCCGGGAATGCGCTTTGGGTTGACCCGGGTTCCCTTCTTCCCTGTTCCGGGGGTTCAAGTTTCCTGGGTCGTCCACTAGGTCATTCGGTGTTGCCAGCTGTCTTGCTTTAGAGTTTAAGGCGTGTGATTTCTGCCTCCTGGGTCCTTCCCTCTTTTGTCCCTTGTCTTTGGGTAGATAGCTCCAGGGAGCCGAAGGTGCTTCCCCCAGAAAACTGGCATTGAATGTAATGAAACGCCATTTTCTGGGCGAGACCTGGAGGCTCCCTAGCATCCCTTTCTCCCTCCAGTCAGTGTTTTCTTCGCGTGTTTTGACATCCAGCCTTCGAACTGAAGATCTGGGCACCTGGCTTGAGGGGTCTGGGGCTCCTTCTTCCCCCTCCCAGGGAGGGGGAAGCTGCACAGACAGTGGCGCAGCAACATGGTGGCGTCATGCTTGTTTGCTTACTTGCTTTTCTTTGGGGAGTTCTGTCCACTCGTTTGACTTTTAGTAGTAGTTTCAACCAGAATAGGAGTTTGTTTTAGGATGCTTACCTTTCTGGGTGCCTGACCCAGTCAAAGGCAGACATAGAATGCTCCAAATCACATGTGCAATTCTATAGGCCAATGCTCCTCATGCCTCTCTGATGGGGCCATGTTTTGGCTCGTGATCCCCGGTAGACCTAAGAACTTCATTCACACTGACTGATGCCAATGTCTAATGGTTCCACATCAGCCTGGAATAAGCTCCTGGGAGCCGAAGGGGCTCACCCAGAAAACGCAGCACATGGAAGTCCCTAAACAAATGCAGCAGTGGAAGGGTCAAGGGAACTATCAGGAGAAAATGCCAAGCCATTACGACTATATAGTACTTGAAAGGGGGTCAGGATAAGGATATGGCATGGGACGGGGAGAAGAAATGGTGCCCAACCACTTGGATGGTCGGGTATTGAACCCCAACCTGCATGAAACAAGACCAAGTTGGGTCAAGTTGCAAGAACAATTAGCCCCACCTGAAGACCTCACATATAGTCATTATCTCTGTTGAATGATCTAATAATTGAGAATTGGTGTACACAGTATTATTTACTCTTAAAGAAATTAAAATCCAATTCAAATTATTCTATCCATAACCGATTTCAATTTTGACATCAATGGTTATAGTAATGATAACTTGGTTGCCTGACTGATATTTGATAAAAAAAGGCACAAATGTTTAAGCTACAATCTGCTATCAGTGGAGTAACCTCTATATGAAACTTTTTACCCGAGAGAAAAATATACCAAAGCCTTAGTTACAAGTTTATATTAGCAGAGCTAATTTATTTTTATCAAAACTACTCGACTTGCATAATGGCAAAAACTGAAAAAATTACATATTTGAATGGTGTATAAAGCCATCTTTTAATACAACACTTACATCTGCTTCAATCACACCTCCAAGACTTCCAAGCTTTTCCCAGTTTTGAAGCACCCCATTCTCTGCAAAACACAATATCAAAAGATAAATTAGAAACAGTGACTTACACAATATATGGCTATGTATACATATTACAGACTCCTGGTATTACACAGGGATTCATTTCTGGAAATATTTTACAAATTGAAATGCAATATAAAGTTAAGGACCTCAGGAAAAATATGATGTGTTCCAGTTCTTAAAAAACCAGTATTGAATAGAGGACAATGACTCTTGTGGGTCCCTGGTGGCTCCTTGGTAATTGTTACCTCTCAAACTCCACGCGATTCAATACATGCAAGGCCTTTGCGAGTCATTGTTAGCCTACTGGCAACCAGAGGCCAAAACCTGACAACCACTTAAAGAGGCCAAGGAAAAGTCACCAAATGGGAGAGCCAAAACATACTCAGAAAGGTAAACAAAGTATATAAAACAAGACAACAAATGTCTGAAATAAATGAATCCACACTGGCCCTGAAGCAGTTTTTCTCATTAGTTCTACCTGTGCACTACCAAAAGACTGCACACCATCATAGAACTGCATACCTTTCTCGATCCCCTAGTCTTGACCCTCAGCCATTTGGCCAAGAAGACTGAAAAACTCAAGTCCCTGTCAGGAAAGGAAAGATCCCAAGTCCTTGCACTACTGCTTTTCCTATTCTCATATCACATACAGAGAAAAATAGAAATCACAGCTTTGTATAATCCTTTGCAGATGACACAAAAATCAACATGAAAATTACCTCTGTTAAAGACATTGAAAAACTACAAGCAGATATTAATAAAGTTTTAGACTGGTCAACAGAAAATAACATGATGTTTAACAGTGATAAATTCCAGGTACTCAGGTACGGTAAAAATGAGGACCTTAATTAAACATAATACAGGATACAAAACACAATTAAATCTGACCATAGTAGGAGAACAGCATGAAAAGGATTTGGGAATAATGTCTGATGACCAAATGTTTAGGGCATAACCAAGCAAATAATGCATCAGCCAGAAAAATGATAGGATGGATTACAAGAACTTTCAAATCCAGGGATCCCATCACAATGGTTGTACTATTCAAATCACTTGTGCTGTCCCATCTTGAGTACTGCTCAGTACTCACTTGCCCTTTCAGAGCAGGAAAGATTGCTGAAATAGAGGAAATACAGAGAACATATACGGCATACATAGAAGCGATAAAGCACCTAAATTATTTGGATCAAAGCTCTCCAAATGTACTCGCTAGAAAGGAGACGAGAGAGATATCAAATAATGTACACGTGGAAAATACTGGAGGGCCAGGTCCCAAATCTACACAGTAAAATAATAACATACTGGAGAGAATGATATGGAAGAAAATGCAGAATAGAGCCAGTGAAGAGCAGGGGTACCATAGGCACAATCAGAGAGCACCGTATAAACATCAGAGGTCCACGGTTATTCAACATCCTCCCAGCAAGTATGAGAAATATTGCCAGAACAACTGTGAACAACTTCAAGATAAACTAGATAATTTTCTTCAAGAAATGCCGGAGCAACCAAGCTGTGGTGGATATGTGGGCCTGCGGGGTGCTTCAAGCAACAGCCTATTGGACGAAGCTCTCACAAGTCAAGTCTGGCCTTGGGCCAGTCTTCTCTTGCTCCTTACAAGGGCCAGGTTTCGAGCCCTGGTCCCCAGAAGGCTTATAAAAGACTCGCAAAGACTTGGCATGGATTGAATTGGGTGGAGCTCGCCAGGCAGGAAGCTCCACAGAGCCACCATTAGGAGCCCTCCCAAAAAATATCTAGAAGGCAGGTGACAATAGTTTAATTTATTGTTTGTTATTTCAAGTAAGAATATCATCAGAACTTCTAACAAAAAATTTTAAGTAGTGTTTCGTAACCTCAAACTTTGTTCTATAATTTAGTTTTCTTTGGTAATTAGCTTACCTTTGGTATCTTCTTCTAATGGGACAGAAGGATCAGTCAGTGACCGTGGTTGTCCCAAGTCGCAAACAGTTTTGGGAATTTGATCATTCTGAATCTTATCATATTTATGGTGGAAAGCTGAAAAATAAAGTTAAATGAAAGTAAATATAAGATATTTTAAGAGTACTCTAACACTATACCGTATATGTATATTATGCTCTACTATATACAGACATCAAACCACCATTCAAACTTGTATTCAGCCTTCTGGTTGTGAGAGGTCATGCTCCTGTGGCCTGCTACCCAAGGTGTTAATGACCAGCTTTGAGTTTGGCATCAATGTGGACACAGAAAACTGAGTGTTGAATGTAAGGAAATACCTCTTTCTGGTAAGTATAAACTGGCTCCCTGTTGCTAACTGCCTGGATAGCTCCTTACCTATCAAATTGAACCAAGCCCTTGTGAGCTTTTAAGGAACAGGAGAGAACGGGAAAACAAGGGATGTACGATGGGAAGTCGGAAACCTTTGCATATATGATATATCCGAGGATTCAAATGGCACACAGAAACATACAAGGAGTGGAGCAGTCGAGGAATTCAGCCAAAACAACAACAGAGGACATGAAATCACAGAGCAAAAAACCCTCTGTGGAAGGCATGGAAGACCAAGCAGGGTTGAAGGACACCCATGGACCCTCCTTGTGCCCTAGCCGAGTTCAAAGTCCCCACTGAAAAGAGAAGACATCGGAGCAGAACCATGTTCAACACCAGACACCCGCAAAATCAGAAAGTTGTATCCCCCACCACAAAGGAGGATATATGGTGATATCACAATCCCTAAGTACAGAAGGCAGCATATCCCTGATGGGAAACACCAGCTCAACTGCCTTCACTGCCGACAATGAATGAGCAACCCCCAGGGATGACTTGGTCCCCAAGGAAAAATTAGGCTAAGACCCCAAAACCTTAAGACACTCTTGAACTCTTAGCAAAGGAAGGGGGACAAGAGGTCTGGCACACCAAACCAGATGGACCAGGAGAAAGAGATGGCAGGATAAACTTTCAACATGTCGGCAACACAAACAATTCCAACTCACAATCATAAAAACAGAATGGGGTTGAATCTGGGATATCCATGTTGGCAAAGAGCCACAAACAGTGCATATGAGAAAACTGTTACTTCAGAGTGGTAGCCACCTGATAACTCGCCCAAACCTAGCGATGACGCATGTCACTGGTCTCAGGGTAGGAGGTATCATCCACCCAACAGGCAACACAGCAGAGCAATAAGAATGGCCATTGGCATGTAACAGCAGCGAGGTACAACCTGAGCCACACCAAAGATTCACGGGGGCCTAGTGTGATCTGACAGTGAAAATTAAGCAAGGGCACCAAGTGCAGGAGCTGAGAAGAAAAGATGCAGTGGAACCGGTTTTCGTATGCCACTGTTTTCGTATTTTTCGGGTCTCATACTTGATTTCTTCGAAAAATCTGATTCAATACTCATCATTTGCCTCTGGTTTCGGAGTTTGTTTATACACGTACGGGTCCACTGAGCGCATGGCGCTTCAATTTACCAGTGTTTCCCGCCTAGTGATGATCACGCTTGAATTTTTTGTGAAGAATTTCATAGTTTTTGTGCTTTTTTTTATTTTCTGAACATAAAAGTTCTTATTATATATCATGCCATGGGTTTCAAGAAAGTCAGTGGTAATGTTCAACATAAGAAAATAGTTGTGAGGATGACGACAGAGGAAAAACAAGAGATCATTCATAATGAGACAATGTAATGTCTCACTACAGATAAGTGTTAAAATGTAGGGAAAAACAAGTGTCTATAGACAGATTCTTAGTAAGACAAGCAAGCAGTGAGCCACAACCAGGGTCTAGTGGTATGCCTGCAAAACGTAGGAGAGAGAGAGTACCCCAGAAATGTCATCACTGCTGTTATAATGGAAAAGGACTCCCTTCCAAACACTTGCACCTCTCCTCCTCTCCCCCTTCCTCAGTCTTCCATACGCCAACAAGAGTCCTCAATAAAGGTATAATACCTAAGATTATTATTCTGTATAAAATGTATTTTTTTGGTTAATATATTTGGGAGTGTGGAATGGATTAATTCCATTTACATTATTTTTGTATGGGAAAATTCCTTTCGGTTTTCGTATTTTCAGTTTTTGTACCATCTCTGGGAATGGATAAAATTTGAAAACTGAGGTACCACTGTACTAAATATAGTTTGAAGGACAAAGGCAGCTGCGAAAAACATAAATGGCATGTCATGAAACAAACAGGCAAACTTCTGTGCAACTCAAACAAAGAAGATCACAACTGCCCCAGTCCAGAGACTCACGGAGGAACCACAAACCCATACACTACCCAGGGCAAGGCACCTTCAACAGTAGTCTGGCATTTTCAGGGACAGCTGCCCAAAACCACCAGTAAAGTTAACCTTGGCTTGGCAGAGGCAACACCAGCAAGAAACTAGGGAAAGTAACCCTAAGCTCATGCAGTTTGAGGCAAACAATTTCTCAAGGTCCTACCTGATTTATCTGAGGGCCACAAACCTTAGTTGCCTTGACGAAGACAGGAAGCCGGCAGTATGTCGAAGGCCCCCCCCCCCCATTTGCCTTGATGATTTTTTCCATACAACAAGTGAGACTTGTAAACACACACATGAAGTAAAAATAAAATTGGAACAAACACAAGCAAATGAGACCCCAAGACAGCAGCCAAAGAATGGCCAACACTTATCTGGAAAACTGGAACTTAAAGGTTCCTAAGGTAACTTTGGGAGCTCATGCGAACACTGCCTCACCAGATGAATGACTGGGGAGTTGCATCGTATGATCTAGGAGATTACCAGTGCTGCCATTTAGCAGTGGGCATTTGCTACTAGTGGGTGAATGACCTAACAACTTAATGCCTCATTTACCAAGTTGTTTAGATTTGCCTTGATGTTGTCTGTTTTGTTTTTGCTTTTCCTTTTTGTGGTTTATTTCTCAGTTTAGGTGACCAAGAATACCTTGCCCTCTGTGCCTGTATGAGGGAGCAAGGTTTTGACCTCTGGTTCCTAGTAGATGTTTAATGGCTCACATGGGTCTGCCATGAATTGAATAAGGGAAGAGCTAACCAGGCAGCTAGAAACAGAGCATCATCATGGAGCCCTCCTAGGAAAGATGTATAATATAATAAAAGAAGGTTATAACAATGAAATAATAAAACATTATAAATTGTCCAATCGTTATAAAATATAAAATGCAATATAAAGCGCAATATATAATGCAATATATACCCGTGTGTATTATTATATTATATGATTCTACCAAAATTGCAACTATTCTTGAACATACATTCCTTGACCTTTTGTCCCAGCACTTCTACAGGTATGGGCTCTCCCACCAAGTTCTTCAGATGTGCCATTAGCATAGAAGAGTTATTGTCTTCAAAGGTGTCATAATTTTCCGAGGTAGCAAAAAGTGTAAAAGAGTTTGCAAGGGCATGAATATATTTTTCTGTTGTAGCTGGCAACATCATTCTGAAAGATAAATATTTGTGAAAGATGTAATAAAAATATATCATTTATTTATAGAAACGAAAATAAAAGTGATTTTAGTTGTTGAGAAATACCAAGAGTAAACTTTATATGTAAGTGACATTTTGCCTTTAAAGGCATTATTAGATTTAAGAGGCCTAATGCCTATAAATTGGAAATATAAGGAAGGGATGAGGTCATTGAGGTAAAGATGTGTAACACTTAACATTTTTGAAGCATTAATTTTGTAAGAGGGGGGGTATCAGTATTGAATTTTCCTTCATTCTATTCAATAGGGTTATAATGTCATGGCTGCCTGTTTCATAAACTAATGCCTAATGTTGATTTCTTTGATGAGTTTATTGTAATTAAGCTTCATGAGGCCATACTCTTATATGCAACACAAGCAGTGCTGGTGTTGTCAACACAGAAGGCCTACTTATTAAATCCTCATATATAGGCTTCAATATGTTTTAACTACATATACTTTGTCACAGTTATTACAAGGAACAGTGTATGTACCTGCTGCAAAGAATGTTCGAAAGATGGGACACCACAAGCATAGCTCTCATCCTGTAACTATACTTAGCATATTCATTTTATGATAGTGTAATTACCTATCTGGAAATCAAGACAGGAATAAATCCATCCTGGAGCATGTGGATATCAGAACTCAGAGGCTGCTTTAGTGAACTTAAATTGTAATTGTAACCTCTTTCATTGAGGCTTTCTTTAAAAATAAATTATTACTGTGTTTTAGCTTGCTTATTAAAATGTTTATCTTTGAACACATTTAGCTTTATGGATAAACTACTAGTATGCTATATACTGCATATCTTAATTTGCTCATTCAGAAAATACAAACTATCTGCATACTGTACCTTTATGATATTAATGATACTTATGATACTTAATAGATATTAACAACTGAAACAATTGTATCTCAACCTAACGAAGAGGTAAAATTAAAGCATTTACTGTGCATTTCATAGTGCTCATGTCTACACTCACCTACAAGATAGCTGTGAGCGACATGAATCATAGACTGAAAAGAGTAGAGCTGGAAAAGTATCTTGAATGTCATTAGTGACAGTAGTAGCTGCAATACAATCACCCTGACATGGTACTTCATTGGGAGGTGTCTCCACATTCTCCTCTCTAGGTATACATTTCATTCTTGCGTCTAAAGGCATCATGAAGTCGATACCATTATTGTTGAATCCATGTCCCGCAAAATAAAATACAACTGAAGAAAATAAATAGAAATTAGAATATGAAGACAAATACACAGGCAATGTATATTAATGTATTTTTATTTAAATGTGGTTAGTGGCAATGAATTACACACTGTACTGAATAGTTAGTCTTGATCGGTACAAAGAATGGATTCCTGGAAAGCAAAGTTAAATTTATGGTGGAAAAATAGTGATGCATTTCAGAAAGTAACATTATTTATCCCTCTCTCAATAACATTTCTACCGGAACATTATTATTACTGTAAGAACTTTTACCACTTTCCAACAACAAACTCATTACATAATGAAGTGTTGAATGCTTGATGACTGATGCATCAGTTAATTCATAATGTAATTAATAACAAGATATGTAATTTATTCTATAGGATCAAGTCAGTTTTCTCAATTAAAAAATTATCCAACTCGCTAGAAAGGAATCTATTATGCCTCGCTTTCCCTATACGAGGCATAACAGATAATAAAATTGTGTCCTAGACAGTTATGGAGGCCTTTATACTCAAGTTCTCCAAGTGTGGAACACACTACAGTATACTAGCAACTGCTGCACATCTGGAGAAACACTGCACTTGTAATAACTAGGTGCAGGGTATGCAGGTACCTAATGTGTTATGTTGGTGGTGGTGGTGGTGGTGGTGGGGATGGGGGCTTATACACAAATGAATGACCAAACTTTCCCACTGGGACAGCATCTGGGAATATGACTAAGGATGAACTCCCTTAGTAAGATAAGACAATAAGATAAAAGAAAAAAGCAAGAGTATACTCAAACAAATGAGTTGGAAATTACTAATGATAAATGAAAGGATTTTTGTTACATATTGCTTAGGTGTAAGGTGGTGCCTTGAAGGATAGGTCTACAGAAACAGGTCTGTAGTAAATGCATTAGGACGGGCCCTCAACGAACCATTTTGCTGTACCTATGAAACTGAACAAGAATATACATATGTAATTTTATTTGGCATTACTCATTTGAAACAAACTGATTTTAAGCTACTGTACTATACAGTAATTACACTAATACTTCCAATTAGAATCGGTACATGAATGGTACTCCAAAAATTCCTACAAATTTACAACTTACCATAATCTCCTTTATTAAGAAATTTTTTAAACAGATGAACCGCATTTACAAATTCAGTCCTTTTTAAGTTGCTGTACATCATAACACGGAACTGTAGATTTGGTTTTGTGAGCTCTCTTGCCAAAACTTTCATATCATTTATTGGTGTCTTTAATTTTGTGTTTTCTTGCATGTAGTCTGTATTTGCCACCATCAAAGCCCACTTATTACGTGCTAGAACAGAAGAAACAATGTTTTTTAATGTTATTGAACAATGCATTTTATATACAGTACCAAGTATTGTACAACATATAGAGTACCATTATATATATAATATACATACATACGGTACTGTAACTACTCGAAGCATGTACAAAGAGGCATCTTTTCTGAGCCCTGATACTTTCATGTACAGTATAAACAATTGTGTTAATGGTATCATGAGCAACCTACTCACTATCCTATTTGTGAATTTTTATATAGGTACCATTAAGAAGAAAGTTCTTGTTGACCTGGACCTTAAATCCGATGTCTATTGCATGTAGTTATGTTGACATCTTCTTGCAGATACCCGACAGGGCATGTTTGCTACTGTTTATGGAAGCTTTGCAGCAAAATCCCATACTATTTTTTACTTGTCTGGTGTGTGCAGACAAGTTAGGTTTTTTGGATGTAGTACGTAGTCTCAGAAAGGAATGGTGGCTTCCTCACTTTTAAGAGAACTAACATAGGACTGTGGTTTAATGCTAATAGTAACTGTCCTGATCAGTATAAGCAAAATAGTGTTGATGTCTACATCAGCTGTGCTCTTTCACACAGCTCTAGTTGGAAGCAGATTGACAAGTAACTCAGTAGTGAAACAGATCCTTGTTGACAGCCGATGTTGTAATGGATAGTTTCCCAATGTCTGTGTCAGATGGTCTGTATTTAGACTAATTGAGATTCCCTAAGCCAACTATTGACCTTCCCCCAGGATACAGCCCAAAACAATTATCTAACTCCCAGATATCTATTTTGATGCCTCTGTTCACCTGGCAATAGTGAAAGGAAACGTGCGCTTTCATTTCTGTCCTCCTGTGGAGAATTGAATCTGGGACCCTTGGTTGTAACACAATGATGTAGACCACTGTTTACAAGACCCCCGGTGTCATTAAAGGAAGGTGAACCATCATGCTACCACTAATGAAGATGTCAGCACTACAGAACTTGTCCCACCTATATTTACACTACTTACTTATGTACACTACTACAGGTACTTTATTTCAAAAGCTCACAAGACAATGGAGAGTTCTGAAAGATATAATCAACAGACAATGACCCCCTATAAACAGTGAACAAAAGATACAGCTCACCATTTACTGCAAGAGTAAGAAGACTGCTAACCTGATCATGAAGAACTCTCCTGGCACCAAACTGAATGTATTGAAAGAGACAAATTGTATTTATGCCTTTATATGCCTACTTGTGGACTGTCAGCCCCAATGCACTCAATATGTTGACAGGAGAACATTTCTTTCAAGGCATCTACCAATACATGAACAACAAGGTTCTATTAAAGATCATGAAGCCCTCTTGTCCAATTATCAACTGCCAGCTTACACCTAGGTATATTCTACTATCTACAAGACCAAGAGAGGTCTGCCAATTTACACCACACTTATTGCTTCCAGCTGACCACTGAGAATGCAGCACCACCTCACTTCTCATCTCACCTGCATGGAATATATACTATTTTCTTTGTCCATTTATAGTTGCTCTTCTTCTGTCTCTGAAGACGCTAAGGTGCACTTTGGCAAAATATGTTAGGCCCATTATAAATATAAAATGAACTTTGGACAATTAGTTTTCAACTTCCTTTCAAAGTGAAGAACATCAATGTAGAGAAGATTTGTGCTAGTCATTGATCTTATCCCTTCAATTATATTAAGTATCACATACATTTCAATAATTTTAAGAATTAAAATTTATCCCCAATAAAAAAAATCTATTTAAGCATACCAGTGAGTGGTTCCTCTTGTGTGAATCTCACTTGGGATCCTACATCGTCATACAGAAGTGTGCTTATGGATGATAAAGCTGAGAACTGCAATTGGGATGGATCCCTATCTTCTCTCTTCAATATAGTCTCTCTAATGATGCTCTCTAAATTATGCCTATGATTGTCTTCTGATGCTGATACTGAAATTTGCAAAGGATAAACAACATGTAAAAGTACTGCATATATTTTGTTCGTACTAGAGTAAAATGATTTTCAAGCCTATTATATAAATTCATTACAGTAAACTGGATGTGAAAGATAAAATTAAAAAATTAAAAATTGGCAATAGGTACACAGAATCAGTAAAAAGAAATAGTCAAAACCCTAAATAGACAGTTTCAAAGTGTTTATACAATATACAGATATTGACATACCAGTAATGTAAGTCAAAAGTGCTGTAGTTTAAATTTCAGATAATCACAGACTAATTCATTCTATTTGATTAAGTACATGCAAGGCATGATAAATTGCAAATATTTATTTTTCCTTAACAAATAGTACACCACAATTGCATTATACAGTACAGTTACTCAGGTACTCTGTGCATTTGCTTTTGATATTTTTTCCTAGTGCTTTTACTACCATGTGTGCTGATGATAGAGGTTGTAATTTAGGGGGTCTTCCTTGTTCCCATTCTTATAGATTAGAACTGATTGCCTTTTCCCATATGTTATCTAGGTTCCCTGTTTGTAAGGATGTTTGGAAAATAACCTGTAGTGGGCCACTTATCTTGAATGCACATTCCCTTAGCACCCATGGGGAGACTTCACCTGGTTTGACCGTTTTATTTCTATCTAGCTCCCTGAACAGTTTTTTATTACTTCTTCTCTAGACACTTCTGTCTACTGTACTTTATTTACATTTAAGAGTCGATGTTGAGGCTGGTTTGCTGAGAATTCCATCCTGCGTGACCACATGTTGGAACTGTTTGCTTAGTGGTTCATACATTTTTTTTTCAGTCTCTATGAGTCTGTGTGTAACTACCTAAGTGTAAATACCTAAGTGTAGTTACAGGATGAGAGCCATGCCATCTTCCTGGTACTCTGTCATATGATGCTAGGGAGAAAAGAAAGGGATGGGGATTAAGGAGATGAGAAGGAGTGAGGGAGATTAGAAAACAGAGTAAAATACAGAAGAAAAAGAAGGGTGGGAGAAAGGGACCGAGTCAGAAAGGGTGGTTGGAGAGGAAGGTGAAGAAGATGAGAGAAAAACTGGGGGTCAGGAAATAACAGGATTATAGGAGGGGCTGAGAGGGGGAGAGAGGGAGAGAATTGGAGTGAGAAAGAGGAATTGGATAGAGGAAGACAGGTGTGAGGAGAGTTAGAAATAAGGGTTAAGGACAGTAGAATGGAAAGGAAGCCGGAGAATGAGAGGAGGAGGTTAGAGAAGGAGATTGAGAGGGAGGTAAGATGAAGGAACGAGATGATAATTTGAAAATCACTGATGATAATTTACAGTGCTTTTATATACATGTAGTTAGATCAAACTGTAGATCAAATTTATGTAAATATGAAACTATACAAACAAAAGCCATACTACTGTGAAGACCACATGGTGACTTTTTCCTACTTTTTCTGTTGAATACTGGAACTACTGGAACACGAACTGGTGAAACAACCTGTTGAAATAATTCAAAACATTAGTTTCCATATGTTAAAATTATATTTGTTTTTACTCTATTTACTGGAAGGTAGGGTAATGCACTGGAAGGTAGGGTAATGCCACCATTACTCTACCCAGTGCCTCCAAACCCGGTCTCCGAGTTTGGAGTCCCCTGTGCCTTCTTTTACTAACTTCGAGGTACAATCCGGAGCTGGAGCCCTTAGGGCAGTTCGTTGTTGCCTTCACCTTCATCCTGACAGTTCCTGTGATGGCACTGGAACCAATCATATTGGCATTTGCCTTCATATTGGAGACTTTCGGTGTCGTGGAGAGGGGGACTTGCTGCATGGGTGACAGCTTCTCCTCCATATTAACCTACCCCTGGCTTTGCGCCCTGGAGAGGCCACTCCAGACCGACAACCAGAGCGCAACTCCATAGTCTCTGGAGACTGATGGATGCCTTCTACAGTACTACCTTATCCTCTAGTTTCAAAGTTTATAAATAAACACTGTACAGTACAACCTTGGTCAGATATTCTCTGACAGGGATCCTTAATAATTACTTACTTTGACTGTGGCAGCTCTTGATGTGCAGCTTCCTTTATTACTTTTAACTTCACAGTGATATGACCCTGATACTAGGGAGTCCACTTCTTGAATCTGTTTGGAATACAAAAGTACAGACCCTCAAGAGACATGCTTATATCAAATGATACAATGCTCATCATGTCAGCATAAAAGATAACTAAATGAGTATGTTACTAAATGTGGTTCCTTCTCTAGGGTAATGAGATCAAGTTCCCTTAACTTTAGTTTAGTTCTCGTACTTATTAATAATAATAATAATAATAATAATAATAATAATAATAATAATAATACAGTAATAATAGTAATAATAGTAATAATAATAATTCTTATTTATAAGGAATACAGTGCAAATGAACATGTTACAGTCATTAAGTAGTAGATACATAAATTGTATTTTATATAAAATCACTAATTATACACAGTATTTCAGGTTAACCTCTATACATTTTGGAGGCCAAAACTGTCAGTACATTAGTTTCAGTGTTATATGACAAAGAGTACTGGGAAGACAGGACACCACGAGCATAGCTCTCAACCTGTAACTACACTTAGGTAATTACATAGTTTTTTTTTTTGCACCACAATGTGCAGATTCCACACCACTGCTGCATATTCTAGTATTGTCTCAAATAGACTGCATAGATTATTTTGAAGAGTCCATACAATATTTATATTTGTAAATGCCATTCTTATGTTTGCCAGTTTGCAATATGCTGTCGATTTTATCCTGCTTATGCAAGCCTCTAATGTTAGTCCTAGCATTACATTCACTTCAAAGTCCTTCATTCTTTTTTCTCATGGTGTAGATGCCGTCTAGTATTCTACTGCCCATTCCTATCGTCATTACTTTCTTCCTAGCTTCTAATTCTAGCTTCTGCTATACATCCAGTCTATAAGGGTTAAAATTATTATTTTTTTACCAATTATAGAAAATTAGATACAACAGAGCAAAACAAAGTTTATTTACTTACTTTGAGCTTTGGCTCAGAGGTTATTGCAAAGAATTCATTATTCTTATACCATGTGTAGCTTTCTGGCTCAGGGTAACCCATTGCTTCAAAGCTTAACAAAAGCTGAAGAAAGTAAATAAAAAAAATATGAAATAGCATGGAATAAGCAGTTACATATGAAATGCCATTAGATTGCATATACATAATAAAATATATGAGTTATTTGTGCCAAAGAATTTCAAGAGATAGTGAAAGAAATACAAATGTAACAAATATATTTCAGTATGGGTGAATATACAGTATTCACAACATTTAATATCTTGCATACCTCTCGACCTGTCAGTAACTCCACATCACGAAGGTCCACTGTAATCTCTGGTGGCATTATTTCTATATTCAGAATAAATTTGAATGATCTGTACTCTTTCACTTCACCTTTGAGGATATGACTCATCTGACAAAAGTATACCCCCATCTGTTCAGTACTGTTAGAAAAAGAGAATTCTGGTGAGTAATACGTAAATGATCTATTTATTATATCGACACATTTTCATAAAATAAATGTATGGTCCATTAAGAATTTTTTCCAGGGGCTTTGTTTATCTGGATAGCTCACTGGATAGCCCTCTACCACCTCTAGCAGTATATTCCTTATACTGTGTAATACTTTTGTGACTCGATATTCTTCAGTCTATGCATAGCTATCTTACCAAATCTGCAGATATTGTTCAACTGAATAAGGGATATTTAGAAAAGCATCCATGGGGTCAACATCTCACAATATGAACAGGGTGATTAAATAAGTATCAATAGAGTACAACTATTAGTATAACTACAGTAGATGTAATTATAGGCTGATGTAAGGAGAACAGTACTTACTGATGTGAGAAGACAGGAAGCCAGAGGCAATCTACACCATACAGGGAACAATAATTACAGGAATTTAATAGAATAAAAATCTGTGGAAGTGGACATAATTCCTACTCAAACACCAGACACACATTAAAGTAGGGTACATCAGCAGCATAAAGGAAACTGGTAAAGATTAGAACAAAATTTAAAAATGTAAATAAGGACTTTTTTTTTCCAAGACAATCTGTACAATCTATGTAAGGCCAATACTGGAAGCCACAGCACCAGCACAGAATCATTCTCAAGTGAAGTGCAAAATTATACTAAAAAAAAGTTCATAGATTTGCAGCAAGTCTAGTGGAAGAATTAAAAGAACTAAGGTAAGAGGATAGGGTACAGGAATTAAATCTTATAATAATAGAAGAGAGAAGAAGCAAAGGGGTTACAATCACTGCTTGCAAGATACCCAAGAAAATAGACAAGGTGAACAAGGACAACCACTTTAAACTGAACAAGTAGGACAAGCGGAGAACAGGTGGAAGCTGGAAGTGCAAAGGAGTCAGGTGGTCAATAAGTGAAAAACATTGAAAGGAGTTGTAGAAGCTACCTTGATCAATGTCAGTTAATACAAAGCAGTAGAATGTCAAGAAAGCTAAAATAAAATGCAACAGGTAGATCAAGGGTATTAGGCAAGTCATAAAAGCTAGACCTCATTTCCCCATAGTCATTGTTAGGTAAACATACATGATGGTATAAGTAGTTCAGTCTGAGGCAACAAGTGCAGGCTGGTATAATTAGTATGTCTAGTACAATGGGTGCCGACTGAAGTAATGAGTACAGGCTATTGCAATGAGTGCAGGATAGTTAATGAGTGAAAGCTAATGTAATGAGTGCATGTAGGTAAAATGAGTACAATGGTATAATGCATAGCTGGTGTAATAAGTGTAGGCTCATACAAAGAATACAGGCTGGTGAAGAGAGAGAAGGCTAATATAATGACTTAGTTTCAAACAAAATTTAATTAAAACTATAAATAATATATAATACTGTACAAGGAAAAAGTATCACCTGAATTTATTTATAGGTAGTCTCCAAGATGTTTGACCTTGCAGGGGTCTTTCATTAAAGTACCACTGGAATTCTGGGTATGGAGATCCATCAACATCAACAACTATATCAATTGATTCACCTAGTTTAATGTTTTGATGAACATCACCAACTGGAGCATTTATCTTCACAGGAACTGTAATTGATAGAAAAGGTTATTAGCACTGGAAAACAAACAAGGTATATTGCAATTCCAAACTAATAATTGTTTATTTTACATGTACTCTACGAGTTATAACTAAAATCATTATAAACAAGGTTTGTTTTGATTGCAGTCAATCAATACAGAAATACCTAGGTCAGCAAATAGGATAAGAACAAAATGGTGTAATGAGTACCAGGAGTGCAATGATTACAAAGTACAGTACTGTAAAGAGTAGGAAAAACTGGAATATGTAGTTTGCCAACAGTACATATCTGTCTGGAAATCAGTATTTCACAAATCAGATAGATCCATATCTCATTTTGCAGCCCTAGACTTTGGATAGAACTGACCTACAGTCCACATTTGGCTTTTATTTACTTTTTTCAATATAGGACAGTTGCTAGTTAATCTTTAATTTTGTCAATGTTGACTAAAAATATTAATTTTCATTGAATAAAACAAATAATAAAGTACAGTATATATCAAGTTATATAAAAAAATAAATATACTGATCATATGTGGGTCTGTGGCATGCTCCTAACAACAGCCAGCTGATCCAAGTTATTACAAGTCAAACCTAGCCACAAGCCAGGCTTGACATAATAATTTGGGGAGTAGAGCTCCCATAACCCACTGCAGCTATACTCCAGGTATAGAAATAATACTGTGATTTCCACTGATGCCACATTTTAGTTTCAGAATTAAAATCTAAAAATTCTTATATTTATTCAACAACTTATTTATATATATATATACACACACAACACTCACCCAAATTGACAAAGAAGAATTCCTGAAACTAGAAACTTCAAGAGCTAGAGGTCACAGATTCAAGATAAAGAAACCAAGGTGCCAAACAACATTAGAAGGCTTTCATTTGCAAACATAGTGGTAGACAATTGGAACAAGTCAAGTGAGAAGGTGGTGGAGGCCGAAACCGTCGGCAGTTTCAAAGCATTATGCGACAAAAAGTGCTGGGAAGATGGGACACCACGAGGTTAGCTCTTATCCTGTAACTACACTTGGGTAATTACACACAAGAGGGTACAATGGGATGTGAAAGTACATGTGTTGGTAATTGTTATATTCTTGCAAAGCCGGTAACACAAATATATAGAATTTTGGGCAGGTCCTAAAGCCAACACAAAATTTGCAGTGAATTTAAAGTTTTTTTATCTGGTACTGTATTAATTACTGTATACATTCATAATATAAAATCTGTATTTTTTATTTGATTGTTGCATATAAAATAAAACCTTTTTGGTCTAAATGACAAATATATTTTGAACACTCCAGAAAGATAATCATAATTTTTTTCTTGAGGGTGGGGTTGGGGTATATCTTGTTTGCTAAAATGCCTGAACTGGGAGACAGATGTAGTAAGAGATAAACAACATGCTGTCTTCGCAATTACAATGCAAGTAGTATTCTATTACTAACTAATATTGTTATTAAATATGAGGTGTATAGATAAATTTGAGAAACCAATGTTAAATAGCATCCACTGGGGCTTAAGACCTTTAGTACCCTCAATAATGTTTTTCCACTACTGCTCACAGGATGAGTATGGGATGCACAATAAACTAACTGCTACTGGAAGTAGTAATAAAAAAAATCTCCTTGTAGTGGTAATGTGGATACTGAGAGAGTTGAAGATCTTCTGACTCATGGACAGTTAACGCTTGCAGAAACTTGTCAGCTGTAGAGAACAAAATATCAAAGCTAGTTTTTAACTACCCAGAAGTTATATCATTTAGGAATATGAATACTTGCATAAACCAAATTGGTATGTTGCTTCCAGATCACATATCACAGTGCAAGGGTTAACACTTGCATTCTAATCCATACACTGGGACATCCACTTTTTGTTTTGTTTTTGTACCATACAATAGAAATAATTTGCAAACAAATTTATTCATAAAATATAAATAGTGTATACAGAAATAAACAGCCACACAAATTAAAAAGTAAATTGCTTTGTAATTACAATTATTACTTAACCTATATCTATAATAGATTAAGTAATAATTGTAATTACAAATCAATAAGATGCTTATCTTAACATACTAAGAAGGTTAGGTAAGGTCGGTGTTTTCTATGAAGCTTTTCAAGGTAAACTAAAATATTCACAATAAATTAGTATGTCACATATGCATGTATTTAATAAGTCAATATTGACTTAAAGGAAGTGCAAGAATGGGTTGGGTAATAAGCCAGGCTTTTGGAGTTTATATGCATTTACTCCTCTAGAGAATTCTATTGCGAACACATTGATACCAAATTTAATATCTTAGGACGAGAATTGAGGTGACAAAGTTGAAAAGAGTATACACTTTTCAGAATTACCACGCACTCCAGCGCACTCCCGTGAAATGCTGAAACCCACCTGGGGTAGTGCGGGGCTCGTGCGCCCAGTGAGCGAAAGTGTTTAAAACAAGCTAGCAAAATTTGTAGCAACTCTTTAATTCTTTTATCAAAGTTGTAAAATTAGTGTCAAATATGTAGAAGCTAAGATGTTACCAGCATTGTGGCATAGTCATAGTATGTAAGAACATTTTTACCGTACAACATACAGTACAGTACAGTATATATTTAACATTACTATACTGGTGACGTTTCACAAATGGGTTAGAAACTTACCATTGGTGATAATTTTATTAAGAATGCTGAAAAGTTGACAGCTTTTCAAAATGTTCTGAAATTCTCGTATTCGAAGGTTATGGCATTTAAGTTTATCTAGTAATGCTTGGCCAGGATTCTGATTTCTCTTCATATATGATATTTCTTCTTCACTGAAAAGCAAATTAAAAGTATTTATAAGGAATCTATACAAAAATAGTTAACATACCTTCACCACTAAGAATATACAGTGGAACCTGAAAAGATAAGGAGTAGAAAGCCTCTTTACAGTGGCTCATTCATTTGACACTGGACTGGGATGGGATTCAAATACTGTATATAGCCAGACTTGAAGGCTTGTCCTTCCTTTTCAGAGTAGGTGGTACATTACACCGGTCTAAGGCATCGTTCAAGAATTCAACCAGCTTTCCTCTCGATGCTTTGTGAACTTTGGTTAAGACTAGATGGGATTTATCCGAGTTCAGGGGCAGCTGTACTCCTCTATCAGCTTGTGTATAATGCTTCCCCTTTTCCGTCTTGCATTCAGCTCAATATCTCTCTACAAGAGGAGGATGTAACAATGCTTTTCAGGTTTCCCCAGTCACATTCCTTTTCCTTTTTGTCAGCCTAGGCAGAATTTGATGTTGCAAGATGAGAACCATGCTTCTCAACTGAACCCAACTCTTTAATTCTGACTTCACATATCATTCCTTGATGAAAAATGTTCTCACTTCTTCCTGGTTAGTGTGCAATCTGGTTTAGGATGGGTGAGGTTTTAAATCAGGCTCTCTGTGCCCCTATTCACTCTAGAGAGATGGCATTATGGCAGTTCTATACGTTTCCACTGTTGCAGCTCTTCGTTGCAGCATACTTTACTTAAATGCTGACACTACCATTGCACATAATCTATAGTGCCTTGCCTGCCAGAACTCTTCTTCCAGCTTCAGTCTGAGTTGTACAGACTATAGGGTTTCTCTGTGTCAACAGAGACATCAGCTCTACCCAAGATGTTTGCATTGATCTTATGTTATTTGGTTTGTTGCCATCTTCACTGCATGCTTCACCTGCAGGAATGCAGTGCAAAACCAGTTTCAGACTTCAGACTTTAGAAGTCTGAATCTTTTAGATGTTACTCTCTATTCTTTCATCTGTCCTTGTCTTCCATGAGGAAGAGATGAGGCCTGGTCTTTGCTCTGGGATGTAATTTCCAGAACCTTTCACAGAGACTGTTCTGTGCTGGTTCCTTTTTCTCTTGGGGGCCATTATCCTAGGAAAGGAGTTGTATTTTATTTCTATACTAGCCCAGTCTACCTCCACAGGACCGAAGTCCAAAACACCGCTAACCATTAAAGAATATAAACTGGTCTAGTCAAACAGATCAGGCCAGGAGAGGATTAGGCGAGAGTGTGAGGCGATTCACAATGCCGAAGCAGTGGGTGATTGGCGCTATGAACTGGTGCAGTAGGGAGGAGTCATATTATTATACCCTATTCTACACAAATATTTTAACAAAGTGTTCAATACATACCAGTGCTTCTCTACATTTCTTTTCATGGTGGGGGGTAAAGTCAACAATATAGCAGATAATATGGGTCCTGGATGGCTCATATAAGCTGCGACTCTGGGAACATCTGCGGGACTAGCTCATAAAGGCTAGTACAATAATATAGTAATGTATTACTATAGTACTGTATGTTACCAATGTATAGTACGTATATTACCAATGTAACACACGAGTATGTTACGTTGTTGGGTAAATTAGATACACAGTGTTTAGTGAGTTTCATATATATTTAGTAGTCCTGGATACGTTGAGACAGAGTTTGGAGCAGAGCAGAGAGCTGACTGTGGCCGGAGTCGTGGAGCTCTATGTTGGAAAGCGTTGTAGCTCGATGCGGTCCTAGTCTGCTGCCTGTTCTGTGTCAAAGCTGTAACGTCTTGGAGATGATTAGAACTGCCTACGCCGAGTGCTACATTCTTGACTGGAAATTGTACTTTTTCTTTAATACTAGTACTAAACCGTACTGTACTATGGGTCACCATGGTACTACAGTACCATGGTCAACACCATTTATTTATTTCACTATATGATGGAGTACAGTAATCATTTATGAACAAATTAAATAAAAAAATAAGCAACACTAAATAGAACAACTGTAAATAATTTAGATTATAAACATTTAATGTTTGCTGGAAAAGAGCACCCTGAGAACAGAGAAACGTTAATATGCATATTTACCTGAAAGTATATTCTCCCAAACCATTTCTAAGGTCTCTTGCAATCATCAGCCAATTGTCCTCTTTATTCAAGGCTTTTATAATGTCTGAGACCAAATGGTAGGATAATTCCTCAAGATGAGCAAGTGGCTGCAGCTCACACTCTTCCATTATTTCACTTTATATTGTGGATGCTGACTGGAAATTAAGTAAAATATCTATGAAATATACCATACATAAAATACATTACCTTTTGAAATTTCCTTCCTAAAAATTAACCCATAATACAAAATGACTGACAGCCCATACTATATCATATACAGTACAGTATTACTGTATGTCTATCAAGTCGAATCTAAATACAATAACTTAAACTCGGCTTAAGCAAATGACTTAAAATTTAAACTAAACTCGGAAAATCTTGGAGACCTGGAAAGAATTTACCACTGAAATAAATCTAAGTTGCATGAATCTAAGATCTAACCTGTTACTTACTTAGTACTTACAATTAATGTATCAAGTTTGGAGACATGTGACATAAACATTTCAGTACAAGAAGCAAGGCAAATAATTTGACTCCCCACTCTAAATATAAGCCATCACACATTGTCAGGACAACTGCACTTCCACCTGTAGGGCAGCAAAGTGCCCCAATGTTGTTGTTGATGTTAAGGTCAGTGAGGGACCCTAATTCAAATTCAAATTCACATGTTTATTCAGGTAAAGTACATACATACAAGGGGTGATACAAATATTGATGAATTTATAGATAGAGCTAGTACATACAATGCCTAAAGCCACTATTACGCAAAGCGTTTCGGGCAGGAAAAACACTAACAACTAAAACTTAATACTAATTGAGTTTAAAGTATAAAATGTGTTGAGAAAATATAAAAATAAAAAAGTGGGGAACATGGCAGAAAAACAGCAAAAATGCAATTTGGTCTACAAACAGCATTGTTTAAAAATAACAGACATGGGTTGACAAGGTGACATTATAGGGTAAGGTAGGTTACAGGGAGTTAATTAGGTAGTGCTTAGTTTTTATCTTAAACTGGTTGAGAGAGGTACAGCTTTTAACATAATTGGGAAGGTCATTCCACATTCTGGGTCCCTTGATTTGTAGAGCATTTCTACTTTGATTAAGTCGTACTCTTGGAATATCAAAAAGGTATTTGTTTCTGGTGTGGTGCTCATGGGTTTTGTTACAACCTTCAATGAAGCTTTTAAGGTCAGGATTGGCATTACAGTTCAGCGTTTTATATATGTATAATACGCATGAGAGAATGTGCAGTGACTTAATATCTAACATATTCAGAGATTTGAGTAGGGGTACCGAGTGATGTCTGGGGCCAGAGTTGGATATTGTCCTAATAGCAGCTTTGTGTTGAGTAATTAGAGGACGTAAATGATTTTGGGTAGTGGAACCCTAAGCACAAATACCATAGTTGAGATAAGGATAGATGAGGGAGTAATAGAGCGTCACCAGGTACATAATATCTGAACTTAGAAAGAATGCCAACAGTTTTTGAAACTTTTTTGATATATTTAGAATGTGTCCCTGGAAATTCAGCTTGTGGTCAATAAGGAATTTGCCATCTATTTTGTTACAAATTTGGGTATTATTTAGCCTGAGATTTATTTGATTTGAGGATTTATTGCCAAACAAAATATAGAAAGTTTTGTCAATGTTGAGGGTGAGTTTGTTAGCAGTTAGCCAAAGATGGACTTTATTTAGCTCAGTATTCACTGTAACATTAAGAGCAAGAGGGTCAGGACTGGAGTAAATGAAGGTTGTGTCATCAGCAAATATAATTGGTTTGAGGTGTTGGGAGGCATTTGGAAGGTCATTAATGTAGATGAGAAAGAGGAGAGGGCCAAGTATGCTGTCCTGAGGAACACCAATGTTGATGGGTAGGGTGGGAGAATTTGAATTATTCACAGAAACATACTGGAGCCTGTCAGTAAGGTAAGATTTGAGGTATTGCAGGGAGTGACCTCTGACTCCATAATGATGTAATTTAAGAAGGTTTTGGTGGTTGACAGTGTCAAAAGCCTTATGCAGGTCCACATATAACCCAACAGGGAACTCATTTTTATCAAGAGCTGCATGTATCAAGTTAATCATACTAATAAGTGCATCGTTAGTGCTTTTTTTGGGTCTGAGGCCATATTGACACGAGCTAAGTATATTGTGTTTGGCTAGATAAGAGTAAAGCTGCTTGTAGATTAGTTGTTCAAATATTTTTGACAAGTTTGGCAGGATTGATAGTCTGTAGTTGTTAACATCAATGAGATCACCACATTTGTGGACAGGTGTTACTCTCGTTTTTTTTTAGAATATCTGGAAAGGTTTGGAGTTCAAATAGCATGTTGAAGAACAATGCAATAGCAAGGGCTAAAGATCTGGAGTTTTTTTTGTAAATTAAAGTTGGTATCTCCTCAAGGGCACTAGACTTGGTTTTAAGGGAAAGGATTATCTCATTAACATCAGTGGAATTTGCAGGCGTTAGGTACAGAGACTGTGGATAGTTACCTGTAAGATAGCCCTGAACATCAGTACTGGAAGATGGAATATCATTTGCAAATTAGATGACCCTAATGTTGTTGTTGATGTTAAGGGCCAGTGAGGGACCCTAATATTGTTGTTGTGTTGATTTAGGGGCGACGACCCTAATGTTTTTGTTGTTGATGTTAAGGGTCAGTGAGGGACCCTAATGTTGTGTTGATGTTAAGGGTCAGTGAGGGACCCTAATGTTGTGTTGATGTTAAGGGTCAGCGAGGGACCCTAATGTTATTTAAGTATAATACACAATTATCGTTAACTAGTTACAGAGTTTTCATTCACCTCAAATTTATGTACTATTTATATTTATATATATTTATATTAAAAAAAAATAACTATATATAGTATTGCAGTGTATAGTCACGAGGTAAACAAGTACAAAACTTGAAGGAATGGCAGCTGAAAAAAAAGAGTACTTAAGCACATCCTATAATCATATGTGCGCACGCCACACCAGTTTTCCTCTTCGTAAGTAATATTTCCTTATAAGAATACTGGACAAATAATCTTCAAATTAATTTTTTACACCTATGCAAACAGCAACAGAAAACAAAACCAATCCAACTCACATGTAGAGATAAGCCAAGCTACGTAACTGTGTCACGAGTATTGATAAGAGAGCACAATATGTAGTCACCGCTGTGATGGTGACACTTGAGTGACTGAGACACGGCAGGATGTCCCTTTGGGAAGAGGGCCATGTCCTAATAAGATTTATAAATATATGTAGAAGGAAAACATTTATTAAAACTGCTTGGCCATCATGTTATGCAGTTGTAATCACCCTACATCCATTATTTTACCTCGTGCAACAGTTTGTTTAGTTCATTTATTATGCACCCCATAATCATCTTGTGGGCGGTAGTGGAAAGGGTTACAGAGGCACATAATGTGAATAATGGACTAAAAATGTGATATTTTTGTATTAACAAGATTAGCTACACATAGCAATGTGCTGTTACTCTATTCTATATGAAGACTTACACAGTTTAAGTCTATACGCTTGTTTGAGTTCATCTAATATCCCCCCATTTCACAGGATGGTTAGTTATACATGGGTGACCTTTGACAAGCTGTCGGCTTCCTGTTTCAACCACTTGGATTGAACGGTAGAGAGGCAGTCTCACTTCTTGCAGGTCAGCGTTCAATCCCCGACCGTGCAATTACATATAATGGCCCTCAGGTAAAAAAGTTCATGTAAATATTTCACCCAAAGGATAAACCCTTGGAACTGCCTACCCGCCTTTTGTATTTACCTACTAGGTAAATACCAAATTTAACTTGAATTAGTTTAAATTATTGAACGAAACACGTTGCGTATGTGTTGCTTTTTTTTTAATTAATATGCCACCCTTATATCTTCAAATATACCTCTGTATTATGTTCTTATGGATGCATATTTATGAATATAATAATAATTATTATTAATAGTAGCAGTAGCATAAATATAAATTTTACTTTCTTAATAAACGTTGAACTTGAATCGCATCACTGCACGCGGTTCATCTAATATTCTCATCTCACAGTCGAATAGGTTGAGGACGTTTCGTTCATGGGTTAAACATACACAGGGGCAAAAATACCTGCCGCAATACAAAAATATATTAACTTTGACTAAATAATAAACTTTACGATTTTCATAAGAACTAAGCACTGAATCATGGAAATATCATAATTATTTTTACCAGTGTCTATAAGATTCCTGTTTTTTTTATTATTATTAACACGCTTAGGTATACACAGCAACGTGTTGCTACCCAATTATGTATGAAAGCTTACACAGTGTAGATCAAAAACTAGCTACAAGTTCATCTAATACTCCCATCTCACAGGATGATTAGTCATACAAGGAATCAGGGGAGAAAATACCTGCCTCAATACAAAAACAAATCAGCTCTGACTAAAAATCCGCAGATTTGGTGCGTAATGAGAGGAATAACAAGAGTGTTGAGGAGCGGGTTCCCGAGGCGGCGAGTGCCTCACTTGTGGGATCTGAACGGCCGCATGCCAGCCTCCAGGTCTGTTATTGTCCACACAGTTGTACTACGTATCGTCATGTGATAAGAATTCATGGTTGGTGAGAGAGAGAGTTGGGGGCACCGTGGTGCATGGTGAGCGGTGCGGTGACAGCACGGGGAAGTGGTGGTAATGGTGAAGCACAGACACACACACGCACTTTCGCACTTTCTCAGGTTTGTCTCAGATCACTCGGCCTTGGGAATTGAGATGAACTAGAGCCATGGAGGGGTCCGACCACGGTGAAGTGTTGACCAAGTTTGAGGAAATATTTGGAACGGTTGTTGAGCACGAAGTTATTAAGATGATACTTCAGTCATGTGGGTGGGAATCGAGAAGTGCGACAGAAATGTTACTAGCAATGATAGACCCTGAAGACCTTCCTTCTCGTGTGCGGAATGCATTAATTGCAGATTCTATTGTTCATAACTCTCCTAAGCAATTTAGTGATAGGATGCCTGTGGATGCTAGCAGTGTAAGTCGGACAGATTCATCAGAAACATCAACTGCTAATTCTGAAGAGTTGAAAAAAGAGTCTATTAATGTGTGTAATAAACCTAAAAGTCGGGAAAGCACAAAAAGTGAGAGTAAAAGTTTACCAGAATCTTTGGTCTCTGGCACAGTGCCTCAGTTAAGCAGTGGAAGTTCCAATACTAATATGGGAGCAGGTATTAATACACCTACTTGCAAGTCAAAAAATCAAACAGAAATTGTATCGCCCCATAGCAGCCTTGAAGGAATATTGAGTGGGTCATCTTCACCCTCTATTTCTCCCCACAGATCTGCATTTGGGATTGATTTTGAGGTTAATCGTGAGCGTGATACTTCCAATTGGGTTTTAGCACCAGAATTTGTACCAAATGATTTTAATCCAAATGCTTTGGTCAATAACAATGGCCTCTGGCATTTAGGAATGAGCCCCAACTCGGATCAAACCTTGCAGCCATCATCAAAGGGCAACCAAAAAATTAAGCTAAATAAAAAAGATGAAATTGTCAACAAAATCTTGCTTGGTGCAAAAATTATGGTTCTTATGCGAGGACTGCCAGGTTCTGGAAAATCAACGTTGGCCAAAGAAATGAAAGGCAGAACTGGTGTTATTTTATCAACAGATGACTTTTTTTACAATAAACAAGGAAAATATGATTATGATCCTTCTCGGATTGGCGATGCACATCAGTGGAATAAACATAGAGCACTCCAGAAACTACAGGATGGGAAAACTCCCATAATAATTGATAATACAAATTTACAGGCATGGGAAATGAAACCATATGTTAAACTAGGCCTTCAATATGGCTATGAAGTTGACATTTTGGATACAGATACACCATGGAAGCTTAATCCAAAAGAGCTTGCCAAAAGAAATTCACATGGTGTGCCTAAAAACAAAATTTTTGAAATGAAAGGAAGATACGAGAGAGATGTAAAGATTGAACATATCATTGCTGATCTACGGGGATTCCCGGCACACACACACAATAAAGTAAATAAGGATTGTGCAAGTTATGGAATAAAGTCCCAAGAAGATGGGCAGATTTTATTCCCACAAAATATTAACGGCAGAAAAAGTTCCGAGAGGTCATTATCTCAGTTTTATAATGAGCTTATGGAGGAAGGAGTTTGGTCTTCTGAAGATGATGAAGATGAAGATGATGATGTTGATGTAATAATTGAAGGTTATGATTCAGATGATGAAAAACACACTGATTGTGAATGTGCCTCAGATAGAAAGAAAATAGATATTGATTTAAAATCTGTAAATGAAATTCAAATTGTTGATAAATTAAATGAAACTAAAGTTACTGATAGCTCAAAAGATTTTGGATTTACAACACCAGACATTGAAGAGATTAAAGTTATTAATGATGAAACATTGAGTCAAAGTATAGAAAACAAGGAAAATGTTTTTAAGAATAAAAAACTGGAATGGGCAGATGTACCTGATGAAGAGAAAATACGGATATTAATTGAAGAAGCTAATGCAGATGTTGATGTTGCAAAAAATGAAACGGATTGGCTTGACTTGACTTCACAGGTTAGCGAAAAGGATGATGTCAGTGACCAAAAGTTTAGTGATCTGGTTATGAGCTTTGGGTCCATTGTAAAGGCACAGATAAAAAAAGGTACTGATGGAATTAATGTAGGAGCAAAGATATGCACAGATGTTACTCAGATAGAAGACACACTTAATGAAGATTCAGCCATGTATGAATTGTGTAGTAATGTGGAAGAAAAAACTGGGAAATCTCTCTCAATGCTTGTAACACGATTTGGGAATAATGAAGAAGGCATTAATTTTTTGCCTGTGAATAATAATCAAGACTCCCATGAAGCTCAGGAAAGCTGTGCTGACAGAAGTTTGTTCTCATTTATAAGTTTATCAGAGGCAACATCAGATTTAATGAGCAACATGGGTGATAAGAAACAAAATGTTTCAGGTGTAATGAAAAATCTTGAAGTTAATATCAAGAATGATAGCTTAGTTGAATCATTTAATGCACATGTTGCATCAGCCAGTAATGAGGGAGTAATGTTAGGGAAAAACTTTGATAATCCTAGTCAGATGTGTTGTAACTCCAGTTCTGAAGTTGATTCTCAGAATCTTGTATTAAGTGATAAGCATGCAGAAGACGGGAAAGAAGAGATTAAAATTGATAATAGTATTATGAGTTTGACAACAGAAGATAAGATCTCTGAAACAAATATTACAAGTGCTGAAGACAAAATTACACTAACGACTTGTAAAACATTATCACAAGATGATAAATCTGGAGAGTTTAATATTAAAGGTGTAAATGCTGCTCATCAGGATGTCAGCCATAATTCTGTAGTTGAAGATTGCTTAACATCTTGGGAATGTGTAGATATAACTGCAGGAGAAAGTTCTCTGAACTGGGATTCTTCTGAAAAAGTTAAAGCTAATGTTTCCGAGTTACAGTGTTCTAAACCAAATAGAACTAGACGTAAGAGAATATCTGGTGATCCAGCCAAGTGGCTAGGTGACACTGATGAAAAGAATGATACATTAGAGGATCCTTCCATATCATCGTGGAATCCGGTTCAAAGTGGTATCCCCTCATGGGACAGTAATATACCAACTGTATTATCTGGCTCTGAAAATCCACTAAAGAGGGGAACTGAGGAGTTAAAATGTGATACATCTGTTAAACCACTGCCTCACACTGGTGCGGTACCAAAGTTTAGGAGACGAAGACAGCAGACCGGAACTCGCTCGCCTGCTAGTACCAGCTCGGGTAATTCTGATGACCAAGTGGCAAACAATAAAATCGACAATCTTTTACCAGGTATAGAAAAAAACATATGTGATGTTGAGAAAAGTGTCACACTTACACACATCGCTGCAGAAACTCAAACACAGTCTATTGACTTTGAAGCTCTGCAACTAGATAACAATCTTTATGAGTTAAAAATCATATATGGGCAACCAGGTTATATTACCAAGGATGACATAGATATTTCAGATAGTGGCCCATTAACCAAGGGAAAACTGTATCTAGATAAAGGTACCATGACAGAAAATGAATCTGACATAATAACTGTAGTTGACTCTCTTAAAAATCTTGTTGCCTTCTTTCCAAACATTCCAGAGGATGATCTTCAAGATGTACTAGAAAAATGCAAGTATGACTTAGATTGGGCTATGAATGTTTTGTTAGATAGTGGGTATGAAATGTCAGATCTCAGTGATGCAAACATTACCTACCAAGAACCTAAGGAAATGGACATCGACACAGAATCAACAACTGAGACAACAAGTACAGGGGATGGAAGAGATGACCCTTCCTCATTTGCTGATGCAAGTGACATATCTTCAGATATATTAGTCGAAGAAAAATCTAGAAAGTTTAAGCAGAGTCAGCAACCAAAAGATTTGGCTAGCAAGAAAGAAATTGAATGTGCTTTCAATTTCAGTGATTCTGTCGATGACAGAATAACAAGGTTAACAGGTAAAGATGTTGGTAATCTGAACATGACGAAAGTAAAGCAGATGAAAGCAAAAAGGAATCGAGATAAGGAAAATATATCGAGCAACAGCAAAAAGTCAAGTGGAGACAGTACCAGTGGAGATGATGCAGAAGGAGCCCAATACATAACACTAGTTATGGACCCTCTGTTTGCTACTCAACTTACAAGAATGTTTGGTCCTGTTGGTTCTTGTGAGATAAGTGGAGATTTGACTCCAGAGGACCAAAGTGTTATTCTTCCTTTAGAATTTTGCCTCATGATACACAAGTACTGGGCTCTTACTCTTGATGGCAAATTCAAACATGAAGCAGAGGTTCTTGACAGTCTTATTCGTGAAGATGAAAGCCTTGCTCGGCGTTTACAAGAGGAAGAAGATTTGGAAAGTTCTAGAAATGAGAATAAACATGAGAACTCAGATGAAGTTTTCCAAAAAGACCCACCTACTCAGTTACAAGAAATTATGGATCTAGAACAGGCACTACAACAAAGCCAAGGAGATAAATCGTCTGATAATCTCACAATTTCTTCTCGTCTCACTTTACAGCGTTTATATGCTGAATATCCTCACGTTGATCCCAATGCCCTGAGAGAGGAATTTACAAGACGTGGTTTTAGTTACCAAGATACTGTAGAAAGCCTTTATAAACAATATGGTGCTGAACAAGGAGCCCCCAAAACTGTAATTGCCCCAGAAGCTTTAGATAGGTATGAGCAACAAATGATCCAACAAGCACAGCGAAATAGCTTAGTTCAACAAGAGCAGGAAGATTATCTTGCCACACAAGAGAGTGAAGATGAGCTAATCCCAGATGATCCTCAGGTAATTATTTTCTCACAGTTTACACCTGCAAATTATAAAATGGAAATATTGTTTGGAATATGAACAATGTGTAATTTACTGAGAAATTTAGTTAGTTCTATTGGTGGAAATTTGTGTATACTTACAGGTGTATCGAAATGAAGCCCAATTACATTATCATCAACGTCAAGAGGCATTCAAAAAGGCGCAGGAAGCATCAGGACAGGGAATGAAAGCAGCTGCTGCATACTATGCTCGTATAGGAAATTTACACTCTTCAAAATTAATTGAGGCCAATCAGCGAGCATCCCAGAAGATACTAGAAGCAACCAATGCTAACAGAAAAGATGCGAATTGTTTGGATTTGCATCTTTTACATGTTCCTGAGGCATTGAGTGCAGCCCAAGCATTCCTTGCAGAGCGACAGCGTGTCCTAACAGCACGAGGAATAAGACAGATGAAAGTTTCTTTAATTACAGGTCGAGGGGCTCATAGTATTGGAGGACAGGCAAAATTAAAACCTGCTATAAAAGAATTTCTTCAGAAAAGTAACTTCTTGTTCCATGAAGCAAACAGTGGAATGTTTACTGTTACATTAAAATCATAGGTTTCAGAACATTTTTGAAAATACAAAAGTAAATGTTTACAGCAATAACAAAACATAAATCAAGTATTATGAAAGTCATCTTGCACTGTTTAGTGTTTGTGGTTGTACAGTTAAAATTAAGTTATTGAGTGACTTTGAGTTTTGTGCAATGACCATTTACGGTATGAGCTTAAGTATCAAGAAAGTGCTACTGTATGTGCCTATTAAGTTTTGGTTGAGTGTCAAGACGGTAGCATTTGTGTGCATACGGTACAGTAGTGTGATGTTAATGTTTGCCATTTTATTGACCCCCAAATCCTAGAAATTTGCCCATTAATAGCAAATAATTTGATGTGGATACATGCCTTCATATGCACTACTGTATTGATATAAATTATTTGAAATTTTATATAGAATGAAGCGAGTAGATATTTGTGGGCAATTTTCAATGAAGGGCAAGTATCCTTACAAAAGATGCAATGTCCTAAATATTTTAATATTTTGTAACGTCCTAAATATTTTAATATTTTGTAACTCATTTATTACAGTTTAAAACAAATGCAGATTATAGCCATAATTTTTATATGCTAGTTGTTTTTTGCTATTATGGTACAGTGTTTTCAAATTTCTGGTGTACTTTCTAATACCGTATTGTATATGAAATTTTAAAAAAATTTAATTTGCTAATCTATAAAATTTTAGTTAGAAATATAACATGCATAACTTACTGTGGGCTTTTATAAACACTGAAGATTAAAGAGATGCGGTGCTATTATGTGATATTGTTCATTCATTTAGCTAGTATTGTTCATGACATTGTGCTTGGGGAGGGGGGGAAATCTTTGCTGACTGATACTGATAATAGTTTTATTTCTATATTTTATGAAACTTGAATATAATGGCTAATATGTTGTCAATTGTACTGATTTGGTTGATGTAGCTTTAGTTCCACATTTTATAAATATGTATAGTAAGTAATACATAAACAACATATTTTTATTTAAAATGGCTTTTAATATGTTGTCTTATTCTACTTTGCAGCTATGCTACTGTGTGAATTCAAAGATGATTAGAAGTACTGTAAATGCTAAACTTTCTTTGGCCTTGCTATGTTGATTTATATTTTTAGAGATTTTATAAATCTAATTAACCCCTTTTTCTGGGGGGAGCCCCTTCATCTTTCGGGAGCTATCTTGGCTGATATGAATGTATTAGACCCTCCCATCAGTCAAGCAAATGGAGTTCTTAAGCCTACCAGGGACCACGAGCCAGAACCTGGCCCCTCAGAGAAGCATGAGGAGCAATGGCCTATAGAAACCCCCTCATGTGGTTAGAAGCATTCTATGTCTGCCATAGACTGGGTCAGGCACCCAGAAAGGTAGGCGCCACAAAACAAACCTTATCTGGTTAAAAATTCTCTACCGAAAGCCGAACTGTTGGACAGAACTCCGCAAATGAAAAACGAGCAAACGAGCATGACGTCACAACCATCCTCGCCCCGTTGTCTGCACAGCTCCCCCCCCACTCCCTGGGAGGGGGAGGGGGGGAGCCCCAGACCCCTGCACTGGCTATTCAAACTCCATTCTTGGCTGATGTGAAACCTGGCGGGTGTGCAACTCTGGCTCCGAATCTTTCCAGTGTTGCACCTTGTGTGGCCCTGTCTTAGTGGTGGTGTGCGAGCCAGGAGTAATTTCAACTGCACTCAGGCTACATGCACCTAGAGTTACCTTCCCTAGGTGTCCTGTAAGTACTGCCCTTGTGGCTTGGGATTCCCTTCCACAAGTTGCTTGGGGGCTGCCTCCGCAGAGGTCTGTTGCTGCTCAGTGATTGCCCGCCCTTGGGGTCAGCTGGGGTGTTTCGTGCACCTCTTGTTTGTCTCTGGGTAGGAGGTAGTGTCGTCACTGGTAGGGGCACAAGGTACTGTGCAGCTGTTCTTCACCTGATACAGCAGCTGACTCTGTTCTGCATACCCAAGCCGAACTGTTGGACAGAACTCCGCAAATGAAAAACGAGCAAACGAGCATGACGTCACAACCGTACAACTTGGTACGTTGTACTCGTACGGAGTTTTTCTTTTGTTTTTGTTTTCTTCCCTTGGTGTGGTTACCACTTTATTTATTTATATATATATACACACACATACATGTATACATATATACATGCATACATATATACACATATACATACATATATACACATTCATTCATGCATTCATTCTCGGTGGTCTTCCACTAGGTCCCGGTGTGGGTACACGTCCCAGGGGGTTCAGCTTTTAGCAGTTTGTTCGGTATTTTGGGGTGCTGATTAGCAGTACCTTGCCTGGGCTTCCCTTAGCAGAGCATCTAAGAGCCCTTGAAAAACCCCACTGGGGCTCAGTGGTCCGATGGATGCGTCCTCCGAGTCCCATCTTGCTTTGTGCGGGTTTGAGGGTTGCTCTGTCCCCTTGTTTCAGGGTAACAATCATCTGTTCTACCTCCATCATGCTACCTGTTGGGTCAGTTACACCTTTGACCTGGAGTCTTGCACTTGGTGTTCCTTGCATGTACTCCTCTTCACCCAGTCCTCTGATCTTGATATTAGGGTGCAGGCAGCTTCGGCGTTGCATGCACGTTATAGGGTGCTGCAGCGCGCTAAGTTGGTTGCTCACCCGGATGCCCCGAGGCTGCCCCGTTTTGTTATAGGGACCCGGACTGGGGGGGGGGGGTAGTCGTTTCGACTGGTTCCGTCCATGCCCCCTTCCGTCCACGATTCTTCGCGGCAGGGGATCGTATTCCAGGGACCATAGGATTAAGGACTTGCCCGAAACGCTACGCGTACTAGTGGCTGTACAAGAATGTAACAACTCTTGTATATATCTCAAAAAAAAAAAAAAAAAAAAAAAAAAAAAAAAAAAAAATCCATGGAATCCACTTGGGCCCTGGCTCTTAGGTATCCTACACGTTTTTGTCCTTTGATGTTTGCAGAGTCTGTGGTGGTGCAGTATCTGCAAGCAGCTTCTTCGAGTTGTCATCCTATTTTGGACATGTTGATTCTCTGAGGGGGGGGGGGCTTCCGAAGGGTCGTGCCGCTTTTGTTGCCTTCCATTTGATTTGAATCTAGTATCTCGTGTGTTCCCTTGCCTTACATGGGTTGTGGTGGCTTGTCTGCATCTCTTAGAGGTTCGGGTGTTGGCTTACCTCGACGACTGGCTAGTTTGGGCTCCCAGTTGGTCCATGTGTCTGCCGTGTGTTTGGTGCTTTCCCAGCTAGCCGGGTTTGGGTTCCTGGTGAACTGGCGGAAGTTCCATCTGGTTCCCTCTCAGGTTCGGTCTTGGCTGGGTCTTGTGTGGGACTCTAGGACCGCTTCCTTGTCTCTCTCTCTGGAGGCTCTGCTGCGGCTGCAGTCCCGCCATCGCTTGTTTTGGAGGGCTCCCGGGTCACGAGGTGATTGCTTGAGGGTTTGTGCGGGAGTCTGAACTTTGCCATGATGGTCTACCAGCTGGGTCAGGTATGGCTTCATCGGCTGTTCTGGTTTCTTCGGAGATGTCAATGTGTTCATGGATGCGTCGTCTCTTGGCTGGGGCTTTGTGACCAGTGCTCACCAGGCTGGCCAGGGACAGTGGGGTCTGTCTTTCCATCGAGTACACAGCATGGTGCGGGAGTTTGTGGCGGGCGCTTCAGAGAGTTCGGGTAGCTTGCGGATCGACGATCCGGCTCCATTCGGATCCAGTTTCCCTTCTTCTCTGTTCTAGGGTTCGGGTCTCCCAAGTTGTCACCAGGGTTATTCAGTCCAGCCAGCCTGAGTTCTATCCTCATGCCCATGATGTTTGTAAGTTTGCTGCTTTGGCTGCCATCTTTGGTAACATGTTTTGAACTGACATTCAGGCACAGGGTTTTTGGAGGTCGAACAGGGTCCTGGCCGCTCGCTATCTGGTCAGTGTTCCTGGCCTCATCCCGGGGGCGGTGTTGGTGTCACCCCGGGGGCGGTGCTAGTGTCACCCCAGGGGCAGTGTTGGTGTCACCCCGGGGGCGGTGCTAGTGTGCTTGCTACCTGGTCAGTGTTCCTGGCCCTAGTCGGGCATGTGTCGCATTGGATCAGCGGTTGCAGTCGGTTGTCTCGACTTCGAGTTGAGGAGCAAGTGGCATCCAGCCTTAAAACTGACGGTTTGGATAGCCAGCGCAGGTGGTCTGGGGCTCCCCCTTCCAGCCCAGACAGTGGAGTGATGAAGGTTGGGATGTCATGCTCGTTTGGTCATTTTTCATTTGGTGAGTTCTGTCCAACACTTTGGCTTTTGGTAACAATTTTTTTAACCAGATAATGTTTGTTTTGGGGCACCTACCTTTCTGGGTGCTTGACCCAGTTGGTGATAGACATAGAATGCTTCCAACCACACAGAGGTTTCTATGGGCCATTACTCCTCGTGCCTCTCTTAGGAGGGGGGGGGTTAGGTTCTGGCTCTTGGGCTCCAGTAGGCCTAAAAACTCCATCCGCTTGACTGATGCCAGGGGTCTAATATATTCATAGCAGCCTAGATAGCTCTGGGGAGCCTCCGGGTCTCACCCAGAAAATGGCATTTCATTACATTCAACTCTGGGTTTTTTCCATAACTGGCACAACCTTTTGAATCATTTATGTTCAGTATTTAAATATTTTGTAAAGTATTGAAGTGTGTGTGTGTGTGTGTGTGATGAAGGTGGGTCTCAAAGGGGAAGTGTGATGAATGTGTGCACTTAGTGAAGACAAAAATGCTGGTGTCTTAACAGCTTTTTATTTTTTACTGTGATTTTTATTGCCCTGGAAGTACAGTACTGTATTTTCCAGAGCAAAGAAAAGACTTAGTGTAATATCAGTGCAAAGAAGTACAAACTTTTTTAAAAGTTCATCCTAGTGGAAAACATTTAAGTTAAATTTTACTGTACAAATGCTGTGGATAGCATTACTATATTGTATGTACTGTCCTGAATCTTACTGCAGCTGTAGTATTAAAGGGAGATTTTAAGAATACAGTACAGTTTGCAGTTATAGTATCTGTATTCATGCAAGAATAATTTTTACACTTTAGCATAAATTTTGATACACCAAATGGTAAAATCTCACTTAGCCAGACAGCATGATGAAAGTACTAATAAAGTTACTCGGTTCCAATCTAACCAAGACCACTTTCGTACGAGTTTTTAAAGATAGTTTTTAAAGATGTATAAAGCTTTCATATATTTTTAAAACATTCAACACCACCTTGGTGATTATTCTGTGTACACACTGCAGTATTTATGTATTAATTTTATATATAAAAAATTCTTTCGAAATGTGTTTGAGAAAAATATAAGATTTGCTGACTACAGTAGTGCACAGTATTTCCCAAAGCAAATGTAGCTTGTTTTCACTGTGTACTCAACCACTTTGACTGGATGGTAGAGTGTCGGTCTCGCTTCATGCAGGTCAATGTTCAATCCCCGACCTACCAAGTGGTTGGACACCATTCCTTCCCCACATCCCATCCAAACTCCTAATGCTATATAGCATATATATATATATATATATATATATATATATATATATATATATATATATATATATATATATATATATATATATATATATATATATATATATATATATATGTGTATATCACGAAAATAAACATATATATATATATATATATATATATATATATATATATATATATATATATATATATATATATATAATAATGCCCTTCCCAGTGCTATATAGTCGTAATGGCTTGGCGCGCTCTCCTGATAATTAAAAAAAAAAATGAAAAATTGTCTTCACTGTGCTGTTCAGTTAAATGTGATTTATCAGTATTAAAGAATATTGTATTGTATACAAATCTTTTAAGTTAGTTAATTTTTCTACCCATAATAAAGATTTTTATTAGTCAGTGTTGGAAAACATACAATTTTAAAGTCTTAACACATGATCTCAAAAAAAATAAAATAAAAATAAATCATCAGTATTTCATATGGTTTTTATATATAGTTCATATGCATTATATGTAAATAAATAATAAATATGGTATTGTATACTCAAAGTACCGTGTATTTTAAATACTTAGGGGTTGTGGAAGAAAATATTAATACAGTTGC